AAATAAATGTATGCTGAAATCGTTGTTAATAACTTGTTACAATACAGTTCACAAACATTTGATTGGTGAAGTTATAAGCTATGTAATTTGCTGATGAAAATTGTAAATTAGTTTAAAAGTAAAATTTTGCCGCTCCAAGCTGCGGCAACAAGTTTTGTCAACATATCCCTCTTCCCATAAGGTGGTATAGATAGGAGGTTCGTAAAATAGTTGATTATTTGAATTATTGATAGTTAAAAAAATGAAACATCCTAATGAAACTTGGCAACAAAAGTTTACAGCTCGTTGAAGTTTGATACGGGTTATTTAACCAAAGAGAAGTGTTCCTCTCTTAATCCTTTAATAGTTAACAATGTAAAATAAATAATTTATTCTTACATCTTTACGTATAAATAATTGCTTAATCTTAATTTCCCACGTAATACTATTTATATAAGAATCGATTGAACAAACTGTCTTTTAACAAAAATTTCAAATTTTTCATGTTGTTCTTCTTGGTTTTCGGGAATAAATTTGTTGGCGTGTCAGCTCCTGGTCGGATAAAACGGCGTGTCGTTCCAGCATAATTATCCGGCTGTCACGCGATTTTAGTCATTTTACAGCGTGACCCAAAAGCCACAAGTGGTTAGCATTGCCTACTGCCATTCGGAAGATGAGTGTTCGAGTTCTTGTTTGACAAACATTGAAAATTATAGAAAATAAATTTTTTTTAATTGCGGTCGGCACTCGGCAGGGAATGTCCGCCCCTCCGAGTGTATTTTGGACATGAAATAAAACTCCTCATAAAAAAACCATCAGCCGTTCGGAGTCGGCTTAGTACAAACTGTAGGTCCCACGCTTTGTTGGAAAAACATCAGGCAGGAAAACCACAAATTGGAGGAGCAGCTCGGCCAAAAATCGCTTCACCGGTTACAAAGCGCCAATTATATATGTATATAGTATGCAGATCATTTAGATCCTTGAAAGCCAACCAAACTTTTGATGGCAACATTTCATATCAGTAATCAGTCATATCTTTTATTTGACATAATATTTGACATAAAAAAAACTTAGCATTGAATATTATATGCTATCATACATTGTAGATCTGGTCCTTGAGTTAATCAACTTCTGGCAGATAAGAAATAGTCAATTCCTTATTATTGTGGTATTGGTTTTGATCCGTAAAGCAATTCATATGCACATTACAATATGTTCAGATAAAATATGTCTCACTCCTATACACATATACTAAATAAACATGCAGACTTTCTGAAAATAAACCATAACTCGGGAAATCCCTCTTTGGGAATTTAATTATTATCATTTATTCTAGAACTTATGCTTGAAGTAAAGAACAATAATATGAATCTTTATTTATACAAATATATAAATTTCACTTCAACATCATAAACACTAATGAATGATTGATTTTAAGCAACTGTTTGTTTGATGGGCCTTCTGATAGTTCTAAGAAGATTGAATTTGGCAATCACAACAAGATCATTTTTTGAAGAGATCATTTTTTCTAGACAGCAAATTCGTTAAGATTTAAAGATATTCATACATACATATATGTAAGTATGAATATGTTTGTATAACATTTTTAAGAAAATGTTCTTACTTGATATACATAGTTTTTAAACATGATATAATATATCCGTGTATGTGAATGTAAACAATGTCAACACTTATTACTTTATCTTAACTTTATGTGATTTCTTTGTGCTTTGTGGCTTTCCCCTTAATATTGTATAATATATGTACGTATATTCAATGTGATTTTTATATTACAAATATTTAATCTTACAATGTACATACATATGTATGTATATATATTGGAATATAGAGTAAAATACATATTCATGTAACGACTGGGTCACGAAAAATATGCGTTTTAAAATTGTCATAAAACAAGACGAATAAATATTTTTCAATAATTTTGCCTTTATGGAAGTGTCTCAGCACTCTCTCATGATCTCGGCTGATAATGTGATTTTCGAACACAGTACGCCACGTTGACTCTCTGTTAAGTAACTCCGTCATGTTGAAACCACACCATGTCCCCGTAATTTTGTACAATAGTACGAAACAAATAATCTATGAGCATGGCATGGTAATTATCGTCATTGGTAGTAACTGCAGCTCCTTACTCGTTTACGAATAAAAGCTGACGAAGTAGTCATTCTTTAAGGATGCTCTATATTTTTCACGGTTTGGGGCTCAGAAACCAAATCCGGCAGTTTTGTATGTGAACGTGTCGTAGAGGTAAAAAAGAGCATAATAAGAACAGATGATTTTTCGCGGAAAAAAGTCTTCTTCTACCAAGCGTTCTTCATGGAACCCTTTGAGCGAAGCGAAATCGCATAGGTTGGTTAAGAGTCTTGAGTTCAATAGAACTTTATGAGACTTCATATCGAGGTTTTCATGCAAAATTCTTCGCAAATAAGTGCGCAAAATGTTATTTCGTGCGAATCGTGTCGGAAATGTTGATATTGATGTACTTGAGTTGTTTTGTTCGATAACGAACCAGTTTGGTGAGCTCGCTGCACAAATTGGCAACCAACTTTCTGGAAGGCGAGTTCTTTCCGGTGTTATTTTGCTTGAGTTGTGGTTGAAGACTCACCATTTTGGTAGTGAGACTGTGTACCAATCGTAATTTTTTTTACCAGCGTAAAAGAGCTTAAACTTAAAAAATGAATGGAATATACAAAAAAAAACGTTTCTTTACTAATGACGTTATTTGTGGAAACAAAAGCAATGCATTAAATTAATGATATACAGTTAATGCAGAGTTTTCGGCAACGAGTGAGTCGCCAGGTAATATTTACTTGTATCAGAACAAATGCTTATAGGCCTATTCTCACTGTATCCTGTAAAGTAATTTTTGTAACTTTTTTTAACATCCGAAATTGAATTTGGTATTCAAGAAATTAAATTTGGTATTTGATAAAACTTTGGCCGCACTGCTTTTTTTCGACCCCATCAAATTACATTGGCCAGTTGTTAAAGTAAAAAAGTAGAATATTCGCATCGAAATGGAAGACAGCATTCGTTTGTTTATTAAGTCATAAATAATTGAACCCAATTATAGAACATATATGTCAGGACGGCAAAAAAAAAATTGAATCAAAACGCTATCTTTGCATTTCTTTCTTCATCTTCAATGAATTCCCGACGTAAAATATGCCTACACATTTTAGTTTTAATTTCTTCTCAAACTAACAACACAAAATCAAACAGCAGATTGCTTGTTTACCTTTACTTCGCGTATAACAAAAATTACAGGGTGACATTGAGTTCAGAATACGAATTAGCAATTTACTGAATGGTAAATTTTAATATCTAAGTAAATTTAATTGTAGTTCCTCACCCTTACATAAAATTCGGACGTTTTTACTCACCACAAAAATTGTCAGACTGTCAGGCAGGCTAAGTTTTCAATATTTTTCATCCGAAGTATGTTTGACCACAGAAGATGGTCCACCCTATATAAAATCAACGTTATGGCCAATTAGAGAATGAACAGAAACCCGACACAAGACAAGAAGTTGGTTGAGTCAAAATTATGCGTACTTATTGCTGAAATCGCTTCGGAGTGAACGTTAATAACGACCCAGTATTATTGGTATTAATCAAAGGATTAAAGAGAAAACTGTTCATTGTATCAATCCGTTGTCGTTGATTTTGCTTGTAAAGGTGTAAAAGTCATTGAGCGCTAAACAAAATAACCTGGCATCAGCTATATAAAATCCTCTGCATATCCTTCATCAGCTGTAGGATGCTAAAATACTCGAATTCTACTCTATTTTGTTTATTCCCTATGTTGTGTTTCTTGATACTGCTCTACGCTTCTAAATCGACGTAGCGTAGACTGTCACGCCTTGTAACTATAGGAGAACATTAAAATTTGTTAGTCGAGACCATTGTTAGGAAATAACCTGCTGCCGACATTTGTGACCATGAAAACTGTCACAGTCGGTAAAAGGTTCAAAAAGTTACCTGAAGAAAGCAATGCCTGGACTAGGAACCGAAATGAATCGTATATTTTTACCAATCAAGGACTATCACTCTCGCAATAATTCCCAAATTGATTGTTTGCGCGATTGCAGCTGCACCAAAAACTGCATGCAATTCTTCAAAATCTATTAACGGTGAGGGAAAATATTGAGCAATTGAGTAATCTCTGGCAGGTAATCAAAATATACGCACAACAATGTTTTTTTTTTTTTCGATATGTGCGGTGCGTTGATGGGCAGTAACAATTGTTACCAATTTTTACTGAACCTCGTACAACGAGGCAAAAAGCCAGTAAAATTTGCAACGGGAGAGGGCAATTTTGACATTTCGTTACTTCCTAATTCTTACTGACACTTCTCACCGAACAGAACTGAAAGCACTTTTGGTAACAATTTATAACTGCCCAAGAGGTCAACGAACAGAGTTATTATCTAATTGTAATTAACCGAACGCTTTTTATTTTCAAATCCATATATATATATATGTATGTACATATATGGCAGCCATATGATATAAAGTGAGAACAATTTACAAAGCATAAAGCATCTGACCAGAAATACATATTTACATGCATACTACTTAGTTGGGAGTTTACTGATTTTAAACTGAGCGATAGAAATAAATAATCCCGATGTGATAACTTGCTTAAAACAAATATAACGAAACGTTTTATTAATATAGGCAATATTTATTTCCATTTACTAAAAAAAAAATTAGTGAGGGCTCGCCAAAATTTTACTCAATACCATGAATTTTTTTGTACTTGTTTTCAGCATAATAAGCATCCTATTGCTAACAATCATCAGTGATAAGAAATTTAACAACTTTAATAATCAAACACGACTACAAGAATTTTTTTTTTGTTTTTTTTTTGTTTTACTTGTCGCACAATTTTTTTGCCACTTCCATAATATACAATTTCAAATAGTGTACACACAAACATACATTACATTTATTTATGTCTTTATATGTAGTTGTGCAATTCTCTTTTATTTACATACTTGAATGTGGAGATGTTTGTGCTTATCGATGCCAATTGTTCCAACAAAAGGTTTTACTGATGATGTGTGTCAAGTTGAATTTTCGTATTCCACACAATTCATTCGCTACAAATTAACGCGCGAAATATACATAAATAGGTTTTATTAAACTGCAACTACTTTTTCAATTACTGCTATGGGAGCACTGAATTTATTTATATTTGACTTTCCCTCAACTACTTGTTTCAGCTTATGTGTCTTCATAAAGAAAATAACATCTTAAGGTATTTATGTATAACAAAAATAACACGTAGTAAAAAGAGTAAGGCACGCTCGTTTCAATGTTGTGCAACGTAGATCTAATGCTAAATTAAGTATTTTTCTTTTTAATATCCTTCACTTCTTTATTATTACATTTGATTATTATCGGCTTCCGCGTGAAATAGTGAAAGAGAAAGATTAGTGTCAGAATTGTATGGCATATGTTTTACGCTCTCTTCAATTGACTTCTACTATTGTTCCATTAACTAAATATCCATTCTACTTCACACCTGTCAACTGAATTCAATTTTGGGAGTTTTGTTTTGCTAAAAAACATTAAATAATTCACACCATATTTAAGTCAAATGCTGCACGATATTATTTTTTCACTTCACTTCATTGAAATTAATTAAGAAAAATTAGTTGCCTTGCTCTTGCGTATTCCGAGTTGCCATAATTTACGCAACATATACAGTGGCTATTTTACGTTTATTCTCAATCGAAGGAAGAAATTTTCTGGTAACACTAATTTAAACTAAACACGTACACTTGTTTGCCAACACAAAACCCACAGCAACGTCAACGCCAAATGCAATGCAAGCAACAACTGAAGAGAACCGAGCACTGCCTTCATTCATATATGAGAGAAACCATGTGCTGCCATATTATATGACATGGCATTTTTGTATTTATACATAAATTAAGAGATACCACAAATTTTTATCAATTATAATAAATTTTTTTCTTTTGAAAACTGACGATCACAGAGATATAACACGGAAAAAGTGACAGAGCCATGGTATTCCGCAACTCAATCAATAGGTCAGATAACGGCCTCTGCTCAAGTAATGACTGATAATTTTGTTGTAGTTAGCATTTTGATTTATAAATGATTTATTATTTGAAATTTCAACTTTATTAAGTCCGGCAATAATATTTCGAACTCCCTGTCATAGAAATTTCACTTTCATTTAAAAAAAAAAATTAGATAAAGTTTTAATTTATTTATTTATAATATTATTATTATTATGGGACTACATCATCATCATTATAAAGTTAGGTAGTTCGTTTGTGTAAATACAAATGTATTAGCATATGTATACGGAAACAAATTATTATACATATATTGGTAAAGCTGATTAACGCAATATGGAAACTCGGAAACTCTACTGCCGGCTATCGGAAGTTCCGGTAGCGAATAATATAATCTTCAATACATTTACAAAAAAATTATAACGCACAAGCATGTGAGCGTCGTTTGATTTTAACACTAGAACTTATCCAATTTGATTGATTTAAAAAATAATAAAAAATATAATAATTGAATATGCTAAATAATTTAGTTCAATTATTGAATTCCTAAATGCTGAATAAATGATTTAGAAACTGCTAAACTCTGCATATGAATGCGTATAGTAGAGCTACAATCTCTGAAACATTCAAAATTCCGTTTCTTATTTTGTTCTCTTAGCGAAATTTGGCAGTGGCCAGATATTCGGCATCATGCTTAATCATTTGAATTAAGCTCAAGACCTTCCGTTAGCCAAGAATGATGGTTTATATTAATATTACTTAAAGCTTGTTTTGTGAAATAAGTCGTAAGTCTCTAACAAACGGATCTGGATGTAAAGCGCGATAAAACCGAAATGGTTTTATTTACACGGAGTGTGGTCTGGCTTTTAAAGCCACCTTAACTAAAGGACGTTGAGGTCACCCTCTCCACTGAAGTCAAATATCTCAGAATAATAATAGATAGCAAACTAAACTGGAAACGGATCACGAGAGAAAGATCAAGGCAAGCTATAGCACTTTGGAAAGCTTTGCACTTTATGCTGGCAAAACTACGATAGGAAAGAGATGAGGTCTAAGACCGAGTGTCGTGTATTGAATCTATACTTCGGTAGTTAGACTAATACTATTCTACGGCGCCACCGTTTGCTGGCCGGCAGTCAATAAAATTACTTTCAGTTGCAAATTAGAGAGAATTCAACTATCGGTTGCTATCCTAATAGCAGAGCACTGCCATCAGTACTCCTGACTCTTCCGAACTTCCTACCTCTGGACCTATACGGAAAACTATAAGCTGGCTGCAACGCAATCAGATTTAATGCAACTCACCCGTGGAAGAATTGCAGTATAGGACGCACGAAAATATGATCTCTTGCAGAAGTGCCAAAGGACTTGGATTATACTACCTCCAGCATTTGCTTTGACAATCTTTTCTCCACGAGAATACCAAACACACATGAGTGGGAAACCCCCACTCATGTACTCGATTAAGGACCATCTTCACAGATGGCTCAAAGCTCCATGCTCTCATTGAACATGAGCAAGAGACAGCCACTGCAGCTTTTTCCAGACAGAACTCTTTGCAATACATGGAGGCTACCGAATGGTTGCTAAATTCTACGGCAGTACGCGGTGACATCCCAGGCAATTTGGCAGACGAACTAGCAAGAGAAGGAACACTTCTACCCACAAAAAAAAACATGTACATGACGCTGTTGTACCTCTGTCCACTGCAAAATATATAATTAAGCTGGCCTTTCCCAGAGAAGCAAACACAAGAGCGATGTCACGAGTAAAGTGACAGCTTTGACCGATGTTGGACGCGAAGAAATCAAAACACCTTATCCTTCTAGACCGCTTCTGCTTATCTGTTGCCGAAAACGATTTCATAGCCAGGAACACAGATTACGGATAAGTGGAATTGGTCTGACAGCCTAAAGCCTCCCTGCGATTGTTACCAATGCTAGAGTTATTCATTTGCGACGGCAAGGTCAGCAGTGCCGCCTGGCTGCCTGCGTATATGGGAAGTTGATGCAGGAGCATCCGTCGTCGAACATCAATAATTTCTACAATTGCTGCTTTTGTATTCCATTAATTTTTGTTTATTGTTCTTGTAATGCTGGTCAACAATCCAGAGCTCCTTATGTAAGAATTTACTATATTATTTTCCAGTTTCTGCTAAGTATGCTCTTGGAAGTGTAATAAGCTATATAAACTTTCCTTATACATTTTTAAAGTTTTTTTTATCGAACTCTACCTCCACGTACTTAGCTGTGGGTGGCAGAGAAATTGTTCTTCTCTTCAGTCACAAAATTTAAAATTTACTAGAGTTAATGAAATGCCAATGTAAAATATTTGGATACTTACCTTGTAAATCTTTTAAGACTTAGAACAATTGATTCCTTTCACTTCCATAGCATTATGGAGATAATAACGTCAAGAGCAGCAGCTTTATTAGTAAAGAAGTATATTCAATGTTCTTCTTGCTTACTATGAGACCGGATTGGCCTGCTTTATTGGCAAGTTGTTCGGATTGAACCTCCATTACCGCCGTTCAGAGTTCTTTGAAGTTTTTTGTACTTAGTTGATTTCTGAATTCCCATTATATGCAGGAGAACGATTTAATTAACATTGAAAAGTTACATTTTCTTCGTAGAATTAATTTGAATAAAAAAGTTTTTTTGTTTTATTTTTAATAAATTATGGTTTGTAAAAAAGATGAGGAGCCTTTTTATATTGTAATATATCAGAAATTCACTCGATTTTCTGTTCCTTTTAGATCTATAAAAATATCACAAAGATGCTTAACAAATGCAACGAAATGAAATCGTAAAATTTGAAATCACACAAAACTCATTGTTAACGTTAATTTTAAAATGTCTGCTTGCTATGATTTAACAGAACACTTCAATTTTAACGTTTAGCATTATCTGTTAACGATTTAGCATCAACTGTTAACAATTTAACATTATCTGTTAACGATTTAACATAAGCTGTTAACGATTTAACATTATTTGTTAACGATTTAACATCAGCTGTTAACGATTCAACATTAACTATTAACTGCTTAACATTATCTATTAACGATTGAACATAAGCTGTTAACGATTTAACATCAGCTGTTAACGATTTAACATTACCGAAATTGTTCGATTAACGTGAAATTTATCGTTACGATGAAGCCTTGTTGTAGAATATCGAAATTTTTCTAAAAGCAAAATGAGACCATGAGGTTGCTGGCATCTAGTGGCGGAAAGAGCTCAATAAACGAGAGACCGTTTTTATGTCCAGTTATTAACCGAATATTATGCTGTTATAAAGTTTGTTACCCAGCAAAAAAAATCAGATCCGCTCACAATGGATGAGATTTCATTGGTCTACGACGACTCCTGTCCGGGAATAACCATGATGTAGAAGTGTAAGAGTTAATTTATAAAAGAAAGGGCATCCATCCGGAATATTATCGATATATTATAAAATAAACGAGAATGCAAAGCTTCAAGCTTAGAACGACTGAAAATAGCGATAAAAGGAAGATAAGGGAAAATGTCGAAACGTGTTCTGTTTTTGCAAGACTTTGATGCTTTCAATCACCCACCTTACATCACAGATATGATCCCGATTGATTATTAGCTGTTTCCATAAATGAAAAAAGCGCTGAAAAATAAAAATTTAATACCGCTGATGAAGTCAAGGGGGCAGCTCAACACATTTTGAAGATGAGAGAAAACAATTTTTATGAGGGTATAAATAAATACTTGCATTAATTGCAGATAAATATGTATGTATGTATGTATAATCAAAAGGAAAAATGATTATTCGCCAATCCCATGAAACACTTATCCAAACGTTGCTGTAAGTGATACTTTTTTGTGCGATTTTTAGCTCCTGGACAAAGGAAACAGTGCTCGTGCGACGGTCAATCATGACGATTTTCGTTATTTCACCGACATTTTCGCGACTTCCACACCGGAACGAAATCAACGAAACCGAATTTGTGCATGATTCACTGTTGAACTAACACATTTAGCTCTCCGACATGTGTTTTCGCCTGGCTACCCGGAAGGCTAGGGTTCAAATCCTGGTATGACCCACATTCAAAAATTATATAAAAAATTAATTTGAATAAAAAATAATATATAATAAAAGCTCCGCCGGTGGGAGGACTCTTTGAATAAACTGTAGGTGCCTCTTTTTGTTGGAAAAACATCGAAACGAACATCACGAATTTCCAAGGGAATCTAAAATATTTGTGAAAAAAACAAAAATCCCCGAACATTAGGACAAGATTTACAATCAGGACACGTACAAACTCTAAAACTATTATAAATAACTTCTTTGATCGACGTGAATGCAATGGATTTGCTGTAATTCTATTGTCTGACTCGGCACGTACTTTTTATCTGAGTCTTCTCCACATGTTTGCGCTACGAAGGTGTCGCCAAAAAAGTTACAGCCTAAAATTTATCACTTTGATGGACATATCTTAAAATCTATAATGGTTTATATGTACATATAATCCTACTTGCGTACAGTTGATAAAAAAGATGGTTAAAAATAAATATTCATAGTTGAGGAAAAGCTCTCCTTGGAAAAGAATTCTTTATCAGACAATATTTCATAGTCTGAAAAGTTGTGTCTGTTTTGACCAACCAACGTGGGGTACTGCATTGAAAACTTTAAATCAGATTTATGTTCGCACATACGGACGACCTCTTGATTCATTCAAATATGCCAATGTCGCCTTAGAGCTTGCATGGCTCATCGTTCCATCCACATTGTCAATACGTAATAAATCTTCGGCGAAACCTTTCTCTCGAAAACTCTCAATTACGACCCTTCAAATATTGTCATCGTCTACGCTACTGCACCATACAGAAAGAAGACAATTTTAATAACCCAAAAATATTGGGAGTAACTCTAGACAGCCTGCACTCCTTCACTCCGCATACGATTGCAATTGCCGCAAAACTCCAGAGCCGCAACAAAATACTCAAAGCGCTAGCCGGCAGCACCTGGGGTAAGAAAAGAAACTTTGCTGGCTACTTACAAAGCAATTGGCCGGCCGGTCGTAAACTATGCTGCACCGATCTGGACGCCGGGGACGAACGAGACGCAGATGAAGAAGCTACAGGCTTGCCAGAACACCGCCTTCAGGACCGCGACAGGAAACCTCCTGATGTCGCCGGAGCATCACTTTCACAGGGAAGCATCTATGCTATGAGTTAAGGAGCATAATGCTTTGCTGTGCAAGCAGTTCCTATTGAGATGCTACCGCAGGGAGCACCCCAGTAGGCATCTAATAGAGGCTGAACCTCCCCCTATGCACATCAGAAAGGGAGCACTAGATTTAAAGGACACAATCCAGCAACACATACAACAACCGCTGGACAGGACGGCGTACCGACAAGCACTGAACGCCATTCACCAGGAGTCAGTCAACACCTTCATGGACTCCCTTCCAGTGAAAGGCGTACTCGGAGAAATACCACCACCCATAGGAGACAACGAGCTCGAGCTGCCTCGAGAAACCCGCGTGACCCTGACACAACTCATGTCTGGATAGACCCCAGCATACCCAACGTATGCCCTGCATGTGGAGAGTCCCCGCACGACACTAACCACCTCTTCACATGCCCCCTCAAACCTACTCATCTAATCCCCCTCTCTTTTTTGGTCCAACCCCGTCGAAACAGCTCGTTTCCTGGACCTACCACTAGATGACCTCGGCGACTTAGACTGATCAAACCTGTGCCTAAGCGGGGTTAGCGAACCACTACAACAACAACAACTACTACTACTACTACTCGCTCTTGCGGGTTAGGGGCTCAAGAATTTGCACGCGGTAAGGCATGCCTGTTGTAAGAGGCGACTAAAATCCAAAAGTTCCCGCGACAGTCGGGTCTTTATACCGGAACGACCCGGATTTTTATCCGGCCAAGGACTGCCACTCCCGCAACATTCCCTAAAAAGTACTTTGGGTTACAACAACAACAACTACTACTACTACTACTCCAATACTGTCATTTTTTGACATACATACATCAGTTCCAAACGCTATATTCTCTTCTGACAATTGCTTATCTCTATGAATTTAATATGCTTTGATTGTTAATACCCAATTATCAGTTTCGTTTTTATCGGAAAATGAGAGATATTGAAACCTTCTGGAAATCAGACCATTAAGTTCATCGTATTTACGCATACATACATATATTTTGGAAATAAAATTATGCTTGCATAAAGTTGTAAGTATTTTTATTTTAATATTTTATACAAATACACTACTTGTAACATTTAAGTCTTTAACCATAAACATACACATACATATTAAAAATTTCAAATACGTAATCGATAAAAATTGCATATTATTACCGTTAAACAATAATTTTGAAGGAATAATTTTCCTCAAATCTGCTTTTAAAAATCATGCACGCTCAGTTAGTAGCACTATTGGCAATGTTTGTTGTTTTTTAGTACATTCATTCGCAACTGCATATCAAAGATATATCCACAAACCATTTCAACTTGTCAAGCTTTGTTAACAAAAAATGTGTAATACAAAAAAAATTTTAATAAATGTTTTATATATGGTTTTAAGCAAATTTCGTCTTTGCATAAATGCAATTGAGGTCAATACTGGTTATCAATGATTTATGATATAAAAAAATGTTCTTGAAATAACCATATCTACTATTAACATGTTTTTGCATTTTCGCATTTGTTTTGTCTCAAAGGAAGCATTCAATTTGTATGTTTCAATAAGTTTATACTTATTATAACAATATTTTATAAAAAAAAAAACAGTGCGTCCGCTTAATGAGCTGAATAAAAAGCGCAGTCGTTTTCATAATATTAATTTTTTCATTATTTTTGATTTAGCAATTGCACGTAATTTGCCGGGAACAACCCATAACGATTCTTGCACAATCCACGCCACCAACCTTCATCGATCTAGAATGCAAAAATATTAAAAGAGGTAAAACCTACTTTCAACTTAACTTACCATTTCGATGTGAGTGATTGTATCATCTGGATCAAATGATATTTCATCGTCGTCAGCAGCTTGGTAATCATATAGGGCGATAGCATGTATGCCTGTGTCTTCAATGTAGTCAGCCAAGTTGTCGGAATTTGAATAAATAGCTTCTTCTTCTGTTGGAGCAGGAACCGCAGAAGCGGAAGTAACACTGTTTGAAGAAACGGTAGTTTTCTCTACGATTGTGTCTCCAACATCTTTCTCTATTTTCGATAGCGTTTGATGTTCCACAAGATCTTCGGGTTGCTGTTGTTGTACCTGTTGATTTTGTTGCAGCAGCTTTTGTTCAATACTCTCTCTGTTCTCGTAAACCGGTTCACGCATTGGTGATTCTGGTGATGATAACTGTGGTGGTGTCATTACGTTTTGTATTTCAATAGAAGGTATAACATCAGGTGGTGGTGCTGTTATTGTGGCATTTTTTTGCAGATTCTCCGAAACAGGTTGACTTTCAGTTTTCTCTTCATCTTGCTTTATTACCTGAACAGGTTCGGCTTTAGATATGGTTATTGGCTCTTTGCGTACAACTGGTGGGTTTTCAGTTGTTGGTGATTGCATTTGATTGAATGCACTTATCGCATTGCTAATACCTCCCTCGCGACCAGTCAAAATCGATGTTCTAGCTCCTTTAGGTGGTGGTGCTCGTGCTTCATCTGCTGCTGGAAGCGGAGAATTTTCAATGACTGTTTTTTTAGCAGCCTCTTCGCGATCACGTCGATCTTTTTCCTCACGTAATCGCTTTTGCTCTTCAGCTCTTTTACGATTTTCTTCTTCTGAATTTTTGGCAAGATTCTCAAATTTAGCTCGTAAATTGGATGGCTTCGCACCTTCGATATTGGGCTTTACTTTTGTATATGTTGTACCCACCTGTTGCTTTTCTGTGTCATTGAAACCTGCAGCTGACTTGTCCATACGATCCTTTTGTATACCAAATTTTCCACCAAAACCCTAGAAAGACATATTTAAATAAATTTCTGCCATCTTACATTAATTGTGATAAATATATTTAACATACCACTTTATGATCTATTTGACTTTCATGCTTTTGCGGTGCTTCTTTGTGATCCCAGCCCATGGCTGATTTGTCCTTACGGTCTTCTTGAATGCCAAATTTCCCACCGAAACCCTTTGAATAATCTTGAAAATCGTAAAGCAGATTAAAATCTAATATGCTGCTATAATTAAAATATTTTTACCTTTTTGTGACTCATGCTTTTCAACCTTTTCAACGTGATCCCAACCAACAGCCGACTTATCCACTCTATCAGATTGAACACCGAATTTGCCTCCGAAACCGGTCGCATAGTCCTTTTGCGAAGCATGTTTTTCAACTTTCTCTATATGATCCCATCCAGCAGCGGACTTGTCGACACGATCTTTCTGCACACCAAATTTTCCACCAAATCCTTCACTGTAATCTTTTTGTGAAGCATGTTTTTCTACACTAGCACGATAATCATGGCCAACCGCTGATTTATCCATACGATCCGTTTGAACGCCAAACTTTCCACCATATCCGTACCCTGGATTCTGCTCCTCTATCTCTTTTTTCTTTTTTTCTTGATCTGCCATTTCGGTTTCAAAACGCAACTTCTCCATACTAGAATTGGTTATGATTCATTAAACATTTGTGATATGAGTAATCAAAAACAATTTACTCAATGGCACCCGCAGTTCGCCCACTACCCTCCACAGTCTTCGATCCCCATCTCTGTTCTTGTTCGCTGACATCGTTTACAAAGTCCGGATCCGTTTCCCAGTCATCGTCAGCATCTGCCTGAGTATTTTGGAGTTGCAGACCGGCTGTCGCTTTCCACATTTTTTTTTTATATACTATCAAATTAATGAAAATAAAGCACTCATAGTATTAGTTATTATTGAAAGTACATAAATAAATGTAGATAAGGTTACAGTTAAACTTGTCCTATATTCTTTATCTATAGGGAGTGGTCAGCCGGTTTCTTATTGCGAGATGCATGAACCACTTTCGCCATAAACATTTAACTATTTAAGAAATGAGTACATTTTCACGCATTTTTCCTTACATATGTATTTATTTATATATACATTTTGGACTTACTTTAAATTGAAATTTATTTACTTTTCCTGTGGAAATATTTCTTGTTTGAATGATTCAGTTTTGTCAATGAAGCAAATGCTTCTTCTTTACTTAAAACACCAGTCACAATGATGAAAAAGATCCAATTGGAATTACAATTAAATAATTTAACATCAACAAAGAACGTATATTTGATATGTTTAAATGTTTGAATAATTAATAACATTTATTTTTTGAATATGAATAAAGCTTTTCTACTAAGCAATAGCAATTAGTCTATATAATTACATTCTTGCACAATAGTATCATTTTGAAACGTGCTTTAGTTCTGATTTGTTAAATCTTTAGTTAATTTATGTTGACTTTGGGATTTTTTATTCTCGATTTTAGCTTTTGTGATAATTGCATTAAGATTGGTCAATTTAATTATTTGTTTGAGGATTTCTCTTTAGAATAGTCAAAGAACGTATATTAATATACGTTCTTTGGAATAGGATTTTCTTTTTGTGAAATCATCACTTTTCTGAACGCACTCTACAAGGTATATCGATAACAAAGCCATATTGAAATATCGAAGGGGAACGAAACATAACTTCCGTCGCACGAAGGCGCTACTCGGCCATTTCTTTCCGTGCGGTTCTTTAACATGACTGGTTTGACGAATAGGGTAAGTGGCGTTTTTTTTAAAGAAAAATGCCATAAAAATGCTTTAAAATTAAGTGGAAATATCAAAAAAATGTACGGTGCAAAAGGAGTTTCGCGAAGATGTCAAATTTGTGCCGACAAAATAGTTCAAATATATAATAAATACAATTTAAAATAACGATTGAAATTGCAGAGCTGTGTTACACGTGCCCAAAACATTTATTTGTCGCTTAACACTGTGCGATGCTATCCTTTTATCTAAATGGAAATTCGTTTCTGTTTTCGGATGTCAATATCGTGGTTTTAAATACATTTATGTAACAATCGTTTATTAAATGATACGTTATAGAAATACTCTTTTTGTTGTCATATACTAATGAACATAACCTTAATTCCTTGTGAGTGTAATTAATTTTCCAATTTTGTTTTGTATATTTACAGGCCGTTGTTATTGATGGTCGTGGCCATCTGGTTGGTCGTTTGGCCTCCGTTATTGCTAAATACCTTCTTCAAGGAGGTAAAGTAGCTGTTGTACGTTGCGAGGAATTGAACCTCTCTGGTCACTTCTACAGAAACAAAATCAAGTACTTAGCGTACTTGCGCAAACGTTGCAATGTGAATCCTGCTCGTGGTCCATACCACTTCCGTGCTCCGTCACGTATTTTCTATAAAGCTGTACGAGGTAAGATATTGAATAATTTGTATTCGTTCAGTTCATGATGACTATATTTTCTTACCTACATTATTTGAATTATTAATGTAACAATATAAAATGAACTGATTCTCATACATATTTGTATGAATATTATTAGAATTTATTTTATATGACTTCTAACTTAAATTTCTTTTTTTTTTACAGGTATGTAAGAATTTGATTGGAAAATCATACCAAACAAAAATGATGAATAATATATCTTACCTACATTATTTGAACAAAAAATGTAACACATACTTAGACTGATGCCGAATCCAAGACCTTTAACATTTAAAATGTCTTTATTTGTGAATAATACAATATTTAAAATAATTTTTCTTTTTACTTCAGGCATGATTCCACATAAAACCAAGCGTGGGCAAGCCGCACTTGCTCGTCTCCGCGTTTTTGATGGTATTCCACCTCCATATGACAAGCGTCGTCGTGTCTGTGTACCAATTGCCATGCGAGTCCTCACATTGCGTTCCGATCGCAAATACTGTCAAGTTGGACGTTTGTCCAGTGAAGTCGGCTGGCATTACCAGGATGTCGTTAAGAGTCTGGAACGGAAACGTAAGGCTAAATTGCGTGTCACCCTTAAACACAATAGAATCATGAAGAAATTGACGGTGAAAGCTCGCGAAAATATTACAAAGGTGGCGGAACCATTCAATAAAATCATCAAATCTTACGGATACGAAGTTTAAAATACGTATCCTGTAAGTTTGTTTTAAATGATTAGAATTCACTTTTTAATAAAAAGATAATAAGTAAAATGCATCGTTGTTTTCAATCGAAACAGATTTAAATGTATGAAAGAAGGATTAGCAAGTTCATCTGTTGGCAGTTTGAAATAGGATAAATTTGCAGTGGTATTGAATTTGTTAAATAATGAACTAAGAAGGAATAATGAAGAAAGTTATTTTCTCAGTTATCCCAGAAAATTTTATTGATTACAAAATGTGCGGTGGTAAATTGGTAGTGACAGGAATGAGAAAATGGCACTTCCTTGAACACTTGTCGCAAGTTATGGCAGAGCCAAATCAAGTGAATAGGAATGCCTAAACAAAACATCATAGAATCGACTACCAATGTATTTTATTAAAATATATCAAGCTCCAGTTTATTCTAAACTACCCCCGGATTTACCAGTGATTCTTATGAGTAGCGGTTGTTCCAACCCCGTTTAGGGACAGATTAGATATTCTTACTCAACTAGGACATCTAACGGGAGGTCCAGGAAATGAGTTTCGACAGGTTCGGACCACACGAAGGGGGGGTTCGAAATGTCGGTTTTAGGGGCATGTAGAAAGGTGGCTAGTGTCGTGGGGAATCGCTACATGTAAGTCGAGATCGAGTCTGTATAGGTAGGAATTTAACCTTAACCTACAATATCCAGACATAAACCGCACCCGTGCGACGCGGTCTGTCTAGGCTACTCGAGTTCTTCGTCTACTTTGGTGGTGATTTGGCTCCGAGGACGCATCCTTTCCAGCGGCTGATGGATGTCCTCGCTGGCTCTAGATGTTTTAGTATCAGCGTGCTTATTCCGTCGGGTTCAACGATTTTGTATAATTTCGCCTTCTCGACGAAAATCTTCCCTAAGGAAATCAAGCGTTGCGTTGGTTCTCGGCAGTTAGGGCTCCGGTCATCGCGTTTGACAATGACTTGACTGTAGCACAGAGCTTGGTGGCTTCAGAAGAGAGATTGCAGGATCCTAAGTGCTCCTCCTACTTTTCCGCCTTTGAGAGCTACCTATTCGCCGAATTTCCCGGTTGAGACGCCTTGGTGTTAGAACCGCCACGCCTTGGTGTTAGAACCGCCACTCATTCTGGAAATATAGGTCGACAAACGTTACAGCATAATCCATCCCTTGGTTTCAACGCCAGCCCTGATGAGAACTATTTGGAGCAGCCCAGCTGTGCAGTATTGCTCCATTGGCGACCTTAGACTAATTTTGATCTAAACGGCCTTAAGTCGCCGAAGGGGTGACTGGCCTTAGCCGGATAAAATCCGGCCAACTATACACTTGGCTAATACGTACGGTTTTATTCTATTGAAAATAGTAAGACGTTTGCAATGAGTGCCTATTCATAATTGTAAGTTATAGTTATTTTTATTATTTATTATTTTTATATATACATACACGTACATATGTACATAACAAATAGAGAATGCATATAATTTAAATGCAGTTACATAAAGTAGATCAACCGCGCATTAGAATGTAGAAGACATATTCAACAGGTGTATATAAGTAGATATTTATCTGGGGCACATAGCATGCCTACCACCGTCCACAGGCATATTCATTCCAGTAGTAAAAGTGGCCAAATCACTAGCCAAAAAACAGATTGCATTCGCAACCTCCTCTACATCTCCAGCACGACCGAGGGCATGTGTAGTCTTACAATGTTCCAAAAATTTCTCATACGCCTCATCATTCATTCCAGAGCTTTTATGTAAGTTTGTTACTACGACACCGGGATTCACAGAGTTACAACGTACTCCTTTTGGAGCAAGTTCTAAAGCAACACAGCGTGTAAACTGATCAATTGCTGATTTAGACATATTGTATGCCAGGACATTGGGGAAAGCGCGAAGCCCACAAACACTTGATATATTTACTATATTGCCCTTAGTTTTAATCAATTCGGGAACTGCGAGCATTGTAAGTTGATAAACAGATCGAACATTCATATCCATTATTCTATCGAACTGCGCCAGTGTTGTGTTCTCAATAGTTCCATTCTCGATGATTCCTGCATTATTCACTAACACATCTAGTTGTCCGAAACGTTTTAAAACTTCACCTATTATATTTGCCGTTGTTTCTTCATCCGTCAAGTCTGCTCTTATTAGAAGTGGCGTGCCATAGCTATTTTCATCTTTATCTCCTGCTGCATTGTCGCATTTCTTTGCAATTTCCTTGAGATTTTCATAATTTCGTCCAATCAATGCTAATTTGGCACCAAATTCTGCAAACTTCACAGCAGCAGCGGCGCCAATTCCAGAGCTGGCACCTGTAATTAATACAACTTTACCCTTGAAATCCATTTCACAATTAAAGTCAAACACGAAATTACTTTTATATCAAACAAAAAAAATGCATATCATTAAATACTTCAAACGCTTATCAAAACAATGCTGCAAACCACTATCAGAAAGATCTGCTTAAAATAGAGAATGTCAGAGATGTTAAAAGTATGATGCTTACTAGTTTCACCATACACTAGTTTCGTCACTAACGAGTGCTCTATCTTAGTGACCTTGTCACAGTGTCTGTATTCATTCTTTTCCATCCGCCAAATGCTGTTATACACCCTTGGATTGTTCTCTATTACAAATATTCTGGTTTCTTGGTGTCCAAAAGTCTGGCTTCGATACCCTAAGACTTTCAGCTGTTTGTTTTGCTCTGGAACAAATCTTTTTCGTTGGAGATAATGAAGCAATACTGAAATTTTGAAATCTTTAGGAGCTCACCGATTTAATGAATTAATAATGCCAGTCACAAGCTGGGTGTAACTCAGCCCTCATACAGGATAATAGACGGCTGACAGAGGTAATTCCTCCTAGCATCGGTGTTATATTATCTCATCTGTTTATGACTTCTAGACGTCTATCCTTAAGCAGTGAAGCATTCCTTGTATTTACCAATCCAATCCGCTATAGATTTTCGGCAACCAATCCAATAGAACTTCTGCCAGTAAGATTATGCAACTGAGCTATCTGCTATAACCTGCTTAGTCGGTGGTGAGTTTATTTTCAGTTCAGGTATCGAGAGTTCTTTCGTTCTTGGCTGCTCTGTTTCTTACCCATCCGCAGCTGTTATTGTCCTTCAGTCGTCACCATCCGATGGTTCTCTGTTTCTTCTTGACTAGTAGAACCACAGTAACCCGTTTTATTGAGACAAACCATTGTTGAACCGTTGGATTACTGGTACGGGTTAACCTTCCTTCTTAAAGATTTGCCTCCTATGTTCGCTAACGTAACTCCATACCACGGCACGGCTGCAAGCAAGGATCGCGGCTGTTAGGTATATATTGTATTTCGGTTAAATATAAGTAATTGTGAGATTTTCGGTCGAGCTTCTCCTCCGATTTGTAGCAAGCATCTTCAAGTTTCCTAATAACTGGAGGGACCTACAGTTTATTTTAAGCCCCCTCCGAAAGGCCGATGGACTTTTATAAGGGCCTTCTATTTCGAATGAATCAGAAACACTGCCAAGGCGTAAGCGTATTTAGAAAATAATTCTTGACGATTGGGACTTAAGTGTGCTCTGTCCAACCCATAAAAAGGGCGATATGAATTTTTATAATTTTAAAGCAGCCTTCGACCTCTACGCCGCTATGTTTGAATTTGATATCCCCGCACTCCGTTGGATGAATCAAATGGAGATTCACCTGGTTTCACTTGGTATTTCCAGCTGGCTATTATTGAGCCGGCTATAATCGAGGAAGCGGTCCCAACACCAATAAATAAGAGGAAGTTAAGTACCTCGTTGTGGAAATTATTAAATTTCCTTAATAAATAATAAACGATATTACCAGAACTTTTAATTTTATTTTTTACTGATTTTCATCCGATTTATCGTGGTGTCATAGCATGTCTGCCTCCATCTACAGGTACATTGTGCCCAGTAATAAGGCTCGCCAAATCGCTTGCCAAAAAGCAGATCATATTTGCCGCTTCAATTGGTTGGACATAGCGCACCAATGCGTGTGTATACTTTGCTTACTTTATAAACTTTTTATATCCATCCTCGCCTAAATACCGCTTTTGTAAATTACTGTAAATGACGCCAGGATTTATGCAGTTGCAACGTACTCCACGCTCGCCCAGCTCCAGCGCTACGCAACGAGTAAACTGATCTACAACTGCTTTGGATATGTTGTAGGCCAATGTGTTGGGAAATGAATGCATGCCGCATATACTCGAAGTGTTAACAATATTGCCTTTAGTTTTCAGCAGCTCTGGGAGCAGCAGTAAAGTCAAAAAACTGAGAACGTAAATTGGTCGAACTGTTCGAGACAAGTGTTCTCAATGGTGCCGTACTCCATTATACCGACATTATTTACTAGGACATTGAGTTGTTTAAAGTTTTTTATTGTCGACTTGGCAACGCATTCAAGATCTTCCGGTTTACTTATGTCGCCGACAACCTAAAGCGGTTCCCCTTGATCTTTTGTCTTTGCAAATTTTACACAGTTCTCACCGTATTTTTGAGTCCTTTGTCGTCTATGTCAACAATTGCTAATTTGACGCTCAATTCTGAAAAACGAACTGCAGTTGCAGTTCCTATATCTGAAGCTGCAACAGTTAAAAGTATAACTTTATTAGTGAAATTCATATTTATAGTGTTAAATTTTTAGGTCGAAACAAATAATTTTAATAATTTTTGATAAACAAAACTCAAATAGAAATAGCTGTGTATATTAGAGATGTACTTTTATAACAGTTTTCAATATCCATTTCAAATGAAGATTTTTGATTATTTGCTATACTTATGTACATACATACATACGTACGAAGGGATTAACAAACGTTCGGTCAGTTGGTAACTATCAATTTGTTTTTGTTAAATCTTAAAATACCAAATCCTTTGCAATTACTTTATTAGTCTTCCTTTCAAATTTCAGAACGAGCGTCTAAAATGGAGAAGAGAAAACGCAAGATAGCTGAGGATAGGTCAGACGAAAATCCATCGCCAACGCAACTACCAATTTGCCACGCGATTATCTTTGGGTTCCGGTGTAATTTACAGCAGTCTTTAAAGACCATTCTAAGTGGTTCCGAAGAATCCAGACCGAACATATTTGCGTAGAGGATGAGCCCCAAGAAGATCTACCAAGATCTTCCAGTGATGACGTCATTGTAGCTCTGATGAGAAATTGACGAAGACCTACAATTGACAAAAGGAATTATTTCTAGAAAATTCGGCTTAAATGTCATGGCTGTATCGCGAATATTAAGTAAACAACTGATATACACGAAGAAATCTGCGCGATAGGTGAGGTCCAAAAAGAAGCTCGGGCGCATATTGCTCAATTTTCTCTAACAAATTCGAAAATGGTCAGTCTAGCAACTTTAGTAAAGTCGTTACTGGAGGCGAATCTTGGTTCTATAAGTACGAACCAGAAGACTACCCATGTTATGTAGCCCAGCGGGAACAAACCCCCCCCCCCCCCNCCCCCCCCCCTAAAAATCTAAGCAACAAAAATCAGCACCAAAAGTAATGATGCCAGTTTACTTCACCTGATTTAAAATCGTAGCTGCTATTCCACTGAAAAAAGGGTCAGACGGTAACTGCAGTATGACACACCGAATATTGCTTACCCAAAGTTTCCAAAAAATTCTTGGAAAACGGGAAGAAAGAGGATTTGAGCCGCTTCATTTTACTTAATGACAACGCGCCATTACATATTGCTGAAATAACTAGTAATTTTCCCCTGAATAGCACCTTGTGATTTCTGGTTATTTTTAAGAATTGAAATAAAATTAAAAAGAAAGGTCTTTAATAGTAACGGGGATTAAATTAATGAGGTTAATGCTGAACTTGATAAGCTTAAAAAGCAAGTTTTTGAAGACTGCTTTCAGAAGTGGATTTCTAGGCTTAAGAAATGCCTTGAAGTAAATGGCGATTATGTAGAGAAGTTAAAAATGGCAAAGATTACGATTAAATACAAAAAGATTTTCATTTTTTTTCTGGTCAGCTTACCGAACTTTTGTAAGTCCCTTCGTATATTTAACTTATTAGATATAAATTACATATCCATTGAGAGTGGCTTATACGAAAGCTGTTCATATAAGCTGAAAAGCTCTCGAGCTCAGGAAAGAAAACCCGAGGGGCCACCACAAATACAAAATTTATTTTCTATAATTTTGGATGTTAGTCGAGCCAACAATCGAACCCTAGCCTTACGAATAGTAGTACGAACTGCTAACCACTCGACGCGACTGCGCGACTTCGAAAATGCTTTAAATTAAGTTTTAAGTTGGGTTTTTACGATAAGCGATTTTATGAAATAAACAATAAAATAAGAAAATAATAATTTTAATAAAAATAATATGAAATCGGAATCCTCTACACCAATTTTTTGTTTCACCGTGGGGTGTTATAATCACCAGGCTACTTTGTGGTCTTACTCTGCTACATACAACTGGCCATGGGAAAAGCAGCTCTTTCGTAGGTCTTCACTGCTACCTTGAGAGCTTGACCTTGAACGCGTCCCCATGGGCACTACGAGACCAAACTATGACCGCTAAGGTGATATCAGAAAAATCGTTTCGGTTCGACCAGGAGTAGCCCAATGAATTTTTGGCTAGAAGTCCGAAAATGTAGTAAATTTTATGTACATCAAACCATACATAAAAATGCATTGAATAGATCAGCCCCAGGTTCACTTCCCGGAAGAAAAGTGGTTTTCAAAAATATATTCGATTTTTGCGAATAGATCGGTACCAGGTCCATTTCCCGGAACATCACTTCTTATCGGAGGCTCCAAGTTTCATGTCTCTACGATCAGTGGTTTAAGCTGTAGGTTGATCCGTCAGCCATTCAGGACAAATCCTTTTGTATGTATAGATAATCTCCGTCAAGATGCACACAATTATTCAAGCGCCGTTCTAACGTTTCAATAGACCTCAGTTTTAGTGATAACCTCTTAGATCTTACCGATTCCCTCAAACCTTGGTTTGTCTAACCTTTCAACAAAAGCTGCAATTTTCCAAAAATTAAGGCCGTTTTGTGGAGTAAAACTATTTAATTTCATTTGTCGATATTCTTAGCAGTTAATACAGTTCCATTCAAATCTCTTAAGCGAGTATTTAAATTATTAATGACGTAGTGGAAAGCAGCAGAACCAGACGAGAGTGTGGACTTACTCTTGAATAAAATCGAGTCATCATAATATAAATGCATACATACATATATGCATTCATATATGCACGGTATCAATGATTTTGTTTCAGCTTTTCCAATTACAGCCAATTAGCTCACAAAAGAATCTGTAAATTCATAGTTGTGACATTCAACTCAGCGCAGCAGTTAATTGCTCTTTATAAAAAAATTGCTCTTTATATAAATTAATATACATACGTATATCCATATGTACATACGACCATGAGACACAATAAAAACCACAAAGGGTTTCGATTAAGAATATAACACTAAGATACGTTATATATATATATATTTATATATATATTCTATATACAGGGTTATCCATTTTGTGGTTTCGGAAATAAATGGAAATTAAATGCATTTAAAATATTTGTTTCATTAAATTCCTCCTTAATTATAAAGTTTGAATCTTGGCGTCGCGAGTTTTTCCACACTTCGATCAGTTGGATGAAATTTTCGACCACTTTTTGACATATATTGGGCGGTATTTCAGCATATATCCGCATAAACTCGTTCTTTTGCTAGGCTACACCAAAAACAGTCTAAAGATGTCAAAACGCACGATCTCGGTGGCCAATTGACATCGCCAGGACGAGAGATTGTTGCTCAAGCACCAAATTGACGTATTTACGTCATTGTGAATGATCAGACTTTACTTGTGGTGTGAGCTAGACTTTATATATATGTAAATTCCAATGCAAAATACGCCGTAATGTGCCGTAAGAGAGTCCCAGCTCTTGAGAACCGCCAGAAATAGACTCATACGGTTCTTCGGCTACACTTTCACTCGCGGTAGCGATATTTGATGTAGAAAGAGCTACCGATGATGCATATGCCTTACATTATCTGTCGCCGATCCAGTCTCTTCCAATTTCTTTAACATTTTCTCAATTACTTGAGTTATTGGACGGTTATGTGCACTATTATCCCCTCTTAAAGCACCAAACGTGGCCCCACGTTTGAATCACCATTTTTTAGTTCTTAACAATTCAAATTCGTTGCGCAGTTGTCAAGCGATCCATTTTTATAAATGCCATGTACTTTTGAAAGCACAAAATGGATAACCCTGAATATAAAAATCTTATGTTCGCTTGTAAAGATCCGGTAATTTCAAAAGTTACCGACAAATTGACTTGAATTTTTGTCGATTGTTTCTATGGTTTCTGGGAAGGTTTATACGAAAAAAGATTACGTGAAGTGTATCGTTCGATTCACTTGAAATTCAATTCATATGTGGATTTTTGCTTAGATTAACAGGAAGGGCTGCTGAATGTTCCCCGACCTGACACTACAGCGAACATTAGAACGTGAGATGGGGGACCGCTCTCAGCTGCAATTGGGGTGATTTTGATCTTTGGCTGGGGGTTGAATTTGAGAGTGAATAAGAAAAGATTCGAATGGTTTATTTGGCATATGTACGTCGAGACAGTCATATATATATTTTCGTGAAAGACTGAGCAGCGAAGAAGTGACCGAAACATACAAATAAGTAAATAAATAAATATATATATATATATATATACATATATAGTGAATGTGTAACAATCTTACGTTCTTTACGAAAAGATGACTGAGATGAATTGATTCACGGAGTATTCCCATATACCCTACTCATTTATGGGAATCATAGATGGCTGGGTGCGTGTTATATCCTCGCTGCAACGAACCAAGATATCTGCGATCTCAACCACACCGTTGAGTTCAACATTGAAAGCGAACTCGTCACGTGTATGTAGGTCAATAGACACCGTTGTGAAAGCAGATGAGTTGGTCCATTATCCAACAGAATTTTTGAGTTCTTCGGACATAGCGGAAGTCCCACCGCTAGTATTAAATTTGAAAATCGGTGTGTCTATTATAATGCTACGTAATATCAATAAGCCGAAACTCTGCAACGGCACACGACTTATATATAGTTATAATAAGCGTTTTGTAACCGCTGAGGCGGTTTTTGGCCGAGCTCCTTCACCAATTGATTTTTTCCAACATATGGAGGAACTCATAGCCGCCTCCGAACGTCTGATTGTTTTTATGAGGAGCTTATTTCATGTCAGAAAATTAAAATAAATTTTCTAGCACTTTTGGATGTTAGTCATACCAGGATTTGAACCCGAGCCGACGCAAAGCTAACCACTCAGCAACCGTGGCCGCCAGCCTGACCCACGACTTGCAATTAAAAAACTACACACGAACATAATTTTAGCATTTACAAAAAGGACCTTTCAAATGTGAAGACATCCTCCTTCCTCGAATCACTATGAATCCGTCCGACACTCGCTCTCAATTCCACCGACTATAGTTACCTATTCGATTAGCGCCAGTCTCTATCAGCAAAGTCAATGCTGCATGTTCTAGGGTTGCAAATTAGATAACCTTTTTATTTGTGAGGCGAGTGGTAGAATCAAAAATGTTTTCCATCCACAGATATTTAGTTAATAAAATTATGATGAAAAGATATCTAATGTTTCATTTTCCATACATTCAACGAGTGTGTGCCGTAGCGAATCGTTGCAAGATACAGCTAAGTTTATTATAAGATAAATAGGTCCGAACATTTAACGATTTTAAATTTAAACATTAATTTTTTTATGAGCAATACTAATTTTTTAACATTCGAATTAGATATAGCGTCCAATATTTTTTTTTTATATATATAAATGCACTTAGAAAGGCCTTCCCTTACCATCTTATCGTGGACACATTGCATGTCGTCCACCGTCTACCGGCAAACTGGCGCCGGTAATAGAATTTGCCATACTGCTAGCCAAAAATGCAATCACACCAGCAACCTCATCCTCCAGACCCTTACGTCCGAGCGCATGCGTAGTTTTAGAATGTACCAGCCAGTTTTCGTAGGCCTCATTATCCAAGTCATCATTTTTTTGAATATCAATTACATCCACGACCGGATTAACAGAATTGCAGCGTACACCTTTTTGCGCTAATTCCACAGCTATACAACGGGTGAATTGATCCAATGCCGCCTTGGATAGATTGTAGACGATTACACCGGGAATTGAACGTAGGCCGCTTACGCTTGATACATTTACAATGCTACCCTTCGTCTCTATTAGATACGGTACTGCCAAAGAAGTTAGCTGAAAGACAGCGCGGATATTTACATCCATAACACGATCGTACTGAGCCATTGTAGTTGTCTCAATACTACCAATTTCAATGACGGATGCACTGTTGACAAGTACATCAATACGTCCATACGTGGCTATAGTTTTCTCCACAATATGTCGCACCTCCTCATCTTTCGTCATGTCTGCATGCACTATTAACGGTGAATGATCGTGTACATCAATGACCTTGTCGGCTACCACACGTAAATTTTCCTTATTACGACCGACAACCGTGAGCAGACCACCCCATTTGGCAAACTCCATTGCTGCTGCAGCGCCAATACCAGAACAAGCGCCAGTTATAATTATAACTTTATTCTTAAAATCAAATGGAGACGGCGGTGGAGGAATCACCACTGGCTCTTCTATATCAATTGAACGGTTGAAATTCATCGGAAACATTTTGCAAGACAAGAACAGCAGCAAATATGAGATATATGTATGTATGTATGTATTTATGAATGTTATTAGTATGTATTTATGTATGTATTTTCGTAGATTGATATAAAGCAATTTGGCAAGCGCGGAAGAAATAATCGCAACCGATACCGAAGAGTGAGCGACAAAAACTGTATGTTGAGGACGTGATCAAGTTTGGTCTAAGAAATCAGCTGTATATTTAATGTTGTTTATTCGGCTTGTTGAACAAATAGAAAACATTCAAAATGCGAATAAAGTTGTACAATTGTATGTGAGTATACATATATATGTACATACATACATGCGTACACCATGCGTATGTTTTGCTAAAAGAATTCATACTCTTCTCCCACTCTTCCGCCCACTGGATTTTTCTCTTGGCCATCAGCGATTTTCAAACATTCATAACATAAACGCGTATACCAGATGCTTTTGAGATCTATCGGAGATATTTAACGTGTACAATCACGGCATGATGTTTTGGCAGAATTGGGAATTGTTGCAAAACGTTCTTATTTTGTTCCGATGAGCTATTGGGCAGTAACTAAGTGTTACCAATTTTTATTGAACTGCATTCGGTGAGTCGAAATCTAGTAAAATTTGCGATTTTGACACTTGGTCAAACAAAAATACAAAGTTTCAGGAATATTTTGCACAAGTTTCAAGTCGATCGATACGAAACTGTAGAAATTAGAGAGTTTTATAACCCGCCGTCTTTTTCATGTGTGGCCTGGCGTTGACCTGAAGGAACGCAATTTGGCCTCTATTGATCAAATATGGCCTTTTTGGATGAGTGCTGTCTTAAAGCGCTCCATTTGTGGCCAAAGGAGAGCAGCTCGTAGTAAATGATTCCTTGCCAATCCTACCAAACACATAGCAAAACCTTCCTCTCCGTCAATTCGGTCTTGGCCACCGTCGCGCCCGCTTTCCCGAGCTTTGACCACAATCGTTTGCACTCAATGTTGTTTGTATGTGATCCATTTTTCATCGCCAGTCTCAATCCGCTTCGGAAATGGGTCGATTTTGTTGCGATTCAGCAACGATTCGCAGATGGAAATTCGGTTCATCATGTTTTTTTGCGTTAATTCGTGTGGCACCCATATGTCGAGCTTCTTTAAGCAAATGGTTCCAAACGGTTTTCTGGCTTATCTTTAATTCCTCAGAAATTAAATAAGTGCTCACTTAACGGTCTGTTTGTCTGTTTCCACTATTTCCATGGTTTTATTGCAATTTTCGACGACAACCTCCCGGCGCGTGGTGCATCTTTGGCATCGACATTACCGGAACTGAACCTAGCAAACCACTTTTTTGCTACACGTTATTTCTTAGATAAAAACCGAACGAACTTCTTACTTGATATATATTCTCTTATGAGTACGTTTAGCCGTATATCGCGGAGTCTGGTCGGGCGGCTTTATTTCAAATACAGCGCAGAAAAAACTTCCAGCTCACAAACACTATTTTTAATTAAATTAGGTTCATTCACTTTCAAATTACAATTTTATGAATATATATATGTATATATTGAGATATGTATTAATAATACACTTCTACCTACTGACATGCATATAGATTTTAATAAACTGTCTACAAAAACAACCTCCCATAGAAAATTGTATGTGCCAAAAGTTTCAAAGGAATGTCCAAGCTGTTGCCATTTATAGTGTAGTATTGGCGAATTCTTACTAGCATTTCTCACCGAACGGACCTATTCAAATTGAGAGAGAAAGATGTTTACCCCTCTAAAGAAGGATATTTACTAAACACTATTCAGCAAAAATTAGGAAACAATTTTTTTTTTTTGGCAGTTACATTTAAATCTGTTTATTTTTTCTGCTTTTAAATATTTTAATAAAATTTGCTAGCAACAATGACGTAGTTTTACATATATAATAGCCGTCAAATCATAAAGATACCAATATAAAAGGGCGAAGATTTAAGTGAAACCTGCCTTGCAACAGTTTCTCGCTTAGAGTTTTAGTTAACAGTCATAACTATAACTTCGTCTATCTTGGAGCCAGCATTAACACCAACAACAATGTCAGCCTGGAAATCCAGCGCAGAATCATTCTTGTCAACAGGTGATACTTTGGATTGAGTAGGCAGTCCCTTTCTCGGCGAACGGAGACCAAACTCTACAAGTTGCTCATCGTTCCGGTTCTACTATATGGTGAGGAGATATGGACGATGACAAAATCTTAAGAGTCGGCGTTAGAAGTTTTCGAGAGATCGATGAACGATATACGGTGACGTTGAAATTGTTTAGCGAATCAAGAAATAGCGGCTATGCCGACTAGATGATGTGGTCTGGATACTTCAGCTTTAAGAGTTTTCAATACAATAACCGTCAGTGGAAGAAAAGAAAGAGGAAGACCTCCACTCCGTTGGAAAGAAACCTTTTATAAAAGGATCTGACTATACTCGGTATTCCCATTTGGCGATAAATATTGTTAACTCGGCTATTATTACGATTTTTTTTTTAAATCCAAGCAAAATCCAAAAAAAAAACTTAATTTTTCCCTTAAAATGCACCTAGCATTTCATTTTGTGCACCGTAGTTCTTTGCAGAATCTTAAGAATGCAATGTCGTCACTACGGTCGTACCAACAACATTGCTCTGTAATGTTTTGCATATCTTGAACCAGAGCGATCAGGATTTCTATCCGGCTAAGGACTGTCACTCTCGTAACATTCTCAAACAAACTACTTTGCTGGTACAACAGCAAGAACCCACTAAGATGTCCACATTGCCGCGATCTACATTGCTTTGTGAGTGAAACGCAAAGGCTTGTATTCTTCACACTTCGCGAAAGGGATTACGACAGTTGGGAACTACTGAAAAAATATATATATATGTTATGTACATGCATACATACAAACATTTGAGAGCACAGATTACTGGTTAGAACCCGCTCTCTTCAGACACTTGTTTCCACAGTAGAATATATCTCTGTTTTGCTATTTTTACTTGCAATGATGGATATGAATGTATGTATGCTGATACAATTGTTTTCTTATATTTTGACAGTTTTTAATTTAATTTTCAAGCCAAAAAAATTAAACACACGCTATCAGAGAAATGTATGCATGTACATGCATATATATACCGACATACATACATATGTATGCACATACATATATACATACCATGTTATGAAAATAAAAATTGAAAGCTTCTCATTAAATTACTTTAATATTTTTAAAAAAATAAAAAATATTCTAAGCTAAACATAAACATCATGCCTATCTAATGTACATATGTATGTGCACATATGTACGAGTATGTTTAAATTTTGCATACTTAAGAACAACAAAGTGGTTATTATTTTATTATACATATTTATAAGCATCAGCGAATAAAGACCTTTGACATTATGTACAATATATTTTTTATTTTCGAGGTGTATAAGTAAAAAAAAAATATAAATGCAATATGTAGGTATATTTGAATCAAATATTATTTTAGAAGTATAGCTATTTGTTGTTGGCATAAAACTTATTTAAATGTAATTTTTTAGTACGCCTTCTATTAACGTGGGCACATAGCATGGCGTCCTCCATCTACAGCCAAACTTATACCAGTCGTAAAGGTGGCCAAGTCACTAGCTAAGAAAGTAATTGCATTTGCAACTTCATCCGCAGTACCAGGTCGCCCGAGAGCATGTGTTGTTCGTGAATGCTCCAAGAACTTTTTATAAGTCTCTTCATCCATACCACCACGTTTATGCAAATTCGTCACAGTTACGCCGGGATTAACACAATTTGCTCGAACGCCTTTTGCAGCCAATTCCAAAGCAATACATCGAGTAAATTGATCGACACCCATCTTCGAAATATTGTAAGCCAATACACCGGGGAAAGATCGTATGCCGTTTACGCTTGACACATTTACAATATTACCCTTGGATTTAATCAGTTCGGGCACGGTCAACATTGTAAGATGATAAATGGCACGCAAATTGGTATTCATTACACGATCGTATTGCTCCAGACAAGTATTTTCAATACTACCCGTTTCAATAATACCAGCATTGTTAACCAATACGTCTAGTCTATTGTATTTTTGTAAAGTTTTCTGCCAAACACATTCTACATCGACTTCCTTCGAAATGTCACCAGGCACTAAATGTGGTTTCTCTCCGACGGAGGAGCAATCTTTTGCAACAGCTTGCAGGTTTTCTAAATTGCGTCCATTCAGTGCAAGTAATGCTCCGGATTTGGCGAATTTTATTGCTGTAGCGGCTCCAATTCCCGAACTAGCTCCTGTAATCAGCACAACTTTACCAGCAAAATTCATTGTGATGATACTGATAAAAGATTCTCTACTGATCGTTACGCAAGCCACCGGTTGATATGATAAGCACTTTTCGTTTTTGTTTTGTTCTACAGGTTTTTTCGTTTTCTTTTGATGTTATCTTTATACGGTGAACCCAGAGAACGTAAATCAACGCAACTTTACGTTCTCTGATTGAACAGCTGAACAGTGCTCAGACTAAAAGAAATTTTGGAGGTATTCAAGTATTTAATACGGCTTTTACACGGCATAATGAATTACATTCTTCGTTCAATTGTTTTATATCCGCCTCGACTATATAGTTCCTTAAATTATGTCTCATTTCCGAAATATATATAGTAGCTCTGTTCACTGAGAAATGTCTGTAAGAATTAGTCGGTAAAAAAGTCATTCTTTTAAACAAGTTCATTAAACTCCAGTTAAGTACATATACCACAAATTATGAGATCAATTTTGCACTCATTTCTAGTAATCTGTCAGTCAGTCAGCAATATGTAACCTTTTTTATTACTAAATATAATTGAAGGTTTTTCACTAGATGCGTATATATTCTATAGAAAATTGCCCTTTTATAAACGTACCATTGGTGACTTTAGACTAATATTATCTGTTGACCTAAACGGGGCTAGATCGGGGAAAAGGTGACAACCCTTGAACGGATAAAATCTGGGTCAACCCCGGTGTGTAGAACCCGCCGTCATGAGAGTTGATAACTTTCCTCAGCTACACTTTTGGCTAGCTGGAGGAAGGAATACAGGCTCGAACTTTATGTGAAGGTCGATGGCGTCGAAATTCCAACCACAAACAATCAAAAGTTACTGGGAATCTCATTTGAATGTTTGTTCTCCTTCACTCCGCATACAATCGCGAATGCCGCAAAACTCCAAAGCAGCAGCAAAATATTCGAAGTGCTAGCCCGCCGCACCTGGGGTAAAGATAAAGAAACTTTGCTGGCAACCTACAAAGCAATTCCTATTCATCAGGAGCCAGATAACACCTTCAAAGGCTCCCTCACGTTGAATGGCATCCAAGGAGTTAAATCACCACCGATAGCAGACAAAGAGCTCGAACTGCCTCGAGACACTTGCATAAATGTCGCGCAACTTTGGATATTGTTGCATGTTAAGCTCCTACTTATCCAGACTCTACCCCAATATGCCCAACGTATATCCTGCGTGTAGTGAGTTCCCGCAGGACACTAACGACCACTATATGTGTCCCCTAAAACCGACACATCTAACTCACCTCCAATTCTCGTCTGAAACCGTCGAAAGAGCTTGATTCCTGGATCTTCCGTGATATGACCTCGGTGACTTAAACTAACTAGCCTGTTCCTAAGCGGGGTAGAGCAGCCGCTACAACAACAACAATCGAATCAACTTTGTGATTTGTTTTACCTCCGCATGTCAAAGTTCACCGGATGAAAAGTTTATCAAAGTACTTATTATTTCGAATAGTAACCCATTCCATGAAATCTACTTAATTGATAATCTATTTTGCAAACTATGAAAAGGAAGGGGTCCTCAAAGTAATAAACTTCTGAAAACAATTTATTAAGCTTATAAATGAAATGACAAGATTTGAATACAAATTAATAACTACATTAAATAAATTTGGCCAGATTTGTTTTAGTATTTTGAGATGAGTTATTAAAATTATCATATTCACTGCTGACATAAGTTTATGGAATTCTTTATCATGGTGAGTTCACGTAAGAATACGGATAACTGAATAGACAGACAACGATAAATACATAGTTTAATTTTATTAATTAGTTTATATCAAGACCCTTAGAATAAAAATCAAATTAAAATAAATTTAAAAAACAATCATTTCTTTTTTTGCTGTGTCCTTTCACATCACCGTGGACACATGGCATGGCGACCACCATCTACCGACAAACTAGTTCCAGTAGTAAAGGTAGCCAAGTCACTAGCCAAAAAAGTGATTGCATTTGCAACCTCCTCAACGGTACCTGGCCGCCCAAGAGCGTGTGTAGTTTTAGAATGTTCCAAGAACTTTTTATATGTCTCTTCATCCATTCCACCACGCGTATGTATGTTTGTGACAACAACGCCTGGATTAACACAGTTTGCACGTACACCTTTTGAAGCCAATTCTAGAGCAATACAACGAGTGAATTGGTCTAAACCCATTTTAGATATATTGTAAGCCAATACACCGGGGAAAGAACGTATGCCATTTACACTTGACACATTTACAATATTACCCTTAGATTTTATCAATTCCGGTACAGCCAACATTGTTAAATGATACACTGCACGTAAATTTGTATTCATCACTCTATCATATTGGGGTAGGCTAGTGTTTTCAATACTGCCTATTTCAATTATGCCAGCATTGTTAACTAGCACATCAAGTTTATTGTATCTATTCAATGTTTCTTGCCAAAGACGCTCTGTATCAGCTTCTTTCGAGATATCTGCCACTACGATATGTGGCTCCTTTCCTACATCAGCACATTTTTTTGCAACAGCTTTCAAGTTTTCCTCATTGCGCCCGTTCAGAACAAGTAAAGCGCCCAGTTCAGCAAATTTAACGGCGGTGCCAGCGCCAATTCCAGAACTTGCACCGGTAATAAGCACCACCTTACCTTCAAAGTTCATTGTTATAAAGCGGTGCGATTTGTTAGTGCCCTTAAAGATGACTGCAATAACTTATGCAATCTTTCTGAATAATTGTGACATTTATAAGTATGATTTTAGTAGGATTCTTTATTAGAATTCATCCACATCGGGGGATTTGTCATATGTTTTATAAGAGAAACAGGGATGTTATTTATATGTTAAAAGTTTTGGTTTTGATGTTAGTGAGTTATGTAAATTCAAATATATCATTTGATTGAGAAGTATGGGTTTTTTGTTTCTAACAAAATTCTCAAAATTTAATTTTGACTATATGTACATAGTAGGTTTCTAAAATATGTTCATATGATCCACTGCTTCCACACTTTTTATTAGATTTATTAACATCAGAAGTTAAACCAGCTTTTTACAGACTCTCCACAGGCAAGTTACTACTTTGTTGAAAAAAGTTGAATTTGTAATTATTTTCAAAGAAGTACTGCTCAAACCAGACCTTAAAATGTATCTACATTGAAATAAACTGCATAAATTGATTGTATATAAGTATTTATTAAGATATTTTTTATATCATTCATGATTAAATCAACTTTTCTTTAACTTATTTATGTAAGTTACTCAACTACAATGTGCAATTCAGTTATAAGTGTATTGTATTTCTTTAATACGTAAACACAAGACATATTCGCTTCTTCCAATATTCTTATTCCCATCTCGGTTTCATAAGTTAAGGTTCTATACATAAGTGAGCCCTTTGAATGAAAATCCCATTTTGAGTATACATGTGTAAAGCAATTCAAAAGCTTTGTCTAGAATTAATCCAAAGGTTTTTATGTCAATTTCGTACGCATTTACGTATGTATGTTACTTAAAATGTGTAAGTGTATGTTTGTTTGTAGTTCTCTCAAGTTTAGTATCTTAAAAAAATATTTATTTTTTTAATTTTCTTTGCATCTATTTGGTGCAACTCCTTGACTTTTTAAATGAGATTATTTTTTTTTTTTTGGAGGCAAATACTTCTTGTCGAAATGGGTAAAGGTTTAGATTAGTGAGTATTGCGTTGAGAATTTTGTAATATTATACTTGTATAGCTTGTGTTAAGAAACAGAAAAAGTTTCCTTTTGAGTCATTGATTAAAAATAAGTATATCCTTTATTTCAAATTAAGCCAATTTTATAATGGCAACTCAAGTTTACAGTTAAATAAATTTACGAAATTTTCCGCTGCGGTAAGTGTGCGTCTGTAAGTTTAGAGAGTAGTAAAGCATGCATGTACTTATTTCTTATTTGTAAATTTGGTTAGATAATTTTATAAAAGATAACACTTTTTCTCGGTTATGTGTTGTAAACTATTTTGGAAGATATATTTGCGATTAACAATTCATTCAAGTATACGTTGTGTTAAGAAAAATATATATTTTAATGAAATGTATTTTGGTATATCCAAATCCTACATCAGAGAAGTGCAAAATTAAGTCTGCCGTTTATCATAGACTTAATACTCGATATTTTCATACAACTTTCATTTTTCTTACATAAAAATGAAAGTGAAATATTTAGACTGAGCTTCTGCGTAATTAGACTACATACCATACTTAATTACTTAGCGTGTAAATGTTCACAATTTCAAAGTGTACATGTAAGTACTTTTTTGGGGTATGTAGATGTCCATGATGTAGCTTGAACACATCTAAGAAATAAAACTAGCTGCACGCACATGTACGAATATTAATATTATAACTTTTCTCATACAGAGTACGGGAATAAAATAATGAGAGAATACAAAAAAAAAAAATGATAAAATGACTTATTAGACACTTAATTATTAATGCAAATTCAATCTTACCATTGATTTCGATTTTATTTTTTATACGCCAAATTATAAATAAATAAATAAAAAACCAAAACGGAAAAATACAAAAGTGCAGAACTTATTTTTAAATATATATTTATATCTTTTTTAATAATTCGATTTTTTTTTTAATTATCATTTTAGTCTCGGCTTTTTGGTGGGAAACTAAAAGTATATAAATTAATACAATTCAAAATACAAATTAGCTCTTAACATTTTGATTTTTAGTAAACAAATTATAATTTAAAGAGATTGTACAGTTAGTTTTCTTTCCAGAGAAATTCATATTAGAACATTCACAGCATTGTTCTGCAAATTGTAAGAGTATACAATTACGACTACAATACATAACATACAAAAAGTTAAATCGAATCTTTTCTTTTACCCTTTTCTCACATACTAATTCACGAATGTCATGAGGTATGTATAATTAATCATGCATGAGTTTATAGATTTCTATGAAATAAATTAGAGTTGCCTACATATTTTTCGACATACAAAAAAAAAAAAAAAATACTTAACAATAATTATTACTTATATGCGGCAAAGTACAAAATCAGTAAAAGAAAATTCATTATGAATGTAAATGTAGATGAACAACAAAAAAATATTAAATTGCAATAACTATAGTATATATTAACATGAGGGCAATTTCTTAAATTAGTCACAAATGTTTGTGAATGACTGCGAACATAAATGAATGCATTTTTTCTTAAGCGCATCAGGCATTTGTACGCAAGCACGCACGCGCCACCTTTTCTTGCTAATCAGGCAACTAAAATATTTCTAATTAACGAGTAATTGTAATGCAATGTAATGCACTACTCTTCTGGGTTTTTGGGCATACATTACAAATACAAAATACCACATATATGTGGAGTATATGCAGATCAGTTGATATTTGTGTTAATTAATGTAGTTTGTCGCAGCGCTGTCGACATTGCCCATTAAATTCACTTAACTTCCCGAACCACTTATTAGTTCATCACATATTTTAACAAGCTCAGCATTTTCTCGCGACTTTTGTTGTAATTGCTCGTTGATAGAAGCTCGCGATATTTCCTCCTTTTTGAGTAATGCTTTCAGTTTTGTTGTTTCGATACTGTGTTCTTTGTTAAGGGATTCGAGTTTTTTGTTGGCACTATGTTAGAAACAGTAGAAATTTGTAGCGTTAAGAAAAATATAAAAAAGAATCACATTTGCATAACTCACATTTCCAGCTGCTGCATGGCATGATTTTTCATTTTGTCATACCGCTGTTCTTGTAATCGCAAATTTTCCAATATTTGACGTTTTTCTGCAACTAAGGCCTCTTCGTTTGACTTCAACTGCAGTGTCATCTCCTTACTTTTGCCGTATTTGCTAATATTTGTAAAAAATAAAAATTAAAAAAAAAAAAAAAAAAAAGGATTTAGAGATGACTTAAGCTAAATCAAATGTACGCATATTTTGCGTCATATTCTCTTACACATGCAGATCAGCGAAAGTCGTTTCGAGTGATGTGAGATGTTGATAATTCGAGTCGCGATCTGCCTTAACCTCCGCCAGTTGTTTTTCATAGCCTTGCAATAATTGCTCTTTCTCGGCGATTAGTTCAGCAATGGCTTTCTCATACGCTTCAATGACACCGCTATGCAAAAATATTGCCAAATTCAAATTTATATATACATATGGAATTAAATATAGAATGAAGGAAGTGAAGTATGTTTGAACACAAAAAATATGTATTCGTATATGAAAAAATTGGTGTGTGGGTTTATTGAAAATTAAGAGCTTACGTCATTTTTGTTATTGTTTTGTCTTTTTCTGTTATCCGCTTGATTAATGCCTCCTCCCGCTGTTCAGCTTCCTTAAGTTTTTTCTCAATATCTTCTGTTTTTAGGCTAAAATAGGTAATGTGAAAATAATGCCAAGAAAAGGCAAAGATTAAGAATTTGTTATACATAAATTTGGAAAAAATTATTAAATGAAATAAAAAAATACAAGTAATAAGAGGTATACCATATAAAGCGTACATTCTTTCCTTTGGATTTGTTTAATAGTTTAATCATTCGAAATTTAAAAAAAAAAAAATTTAAATAATATCAGATTGCGAATACTTAATTTACACCTACATCGGGCGATTGTTTGACGCCACTGCTTGCATAAAACTTAAAAATGTCAATAACTTACACTTCATTTTTAATTTTTTTCTCGAGTTCGTCCATTTTGTAGTTTATTTGTTTTTCATCGGGTTGTGAGCTGGATTTAAAAGAGAAAAAAAACACCGGTGATGATAAAATCTGTACATTTTCTGCTAAAAAAATAATTAAAAAAACGAAATATTTGTCTGCCGTAAAGAGATTATTTATTAGGCAAATTATTTGTTCCAACTTCCAGCATAAGACACTTTATTGCTTTTATAACAACTAACTAAAACCTGCTCAGAAGTTATTTTCAAGATGGTTCTCGAAAATAATTTCCGAGACTTCGGAGTTCAAGTTTGAAAAGTTAAGTTTGATAAAGTTTACCTCTAATGCCAAGGTTTTTATTGAAATTAACGTATTTTTGGGTATTTATGAAAACATAATTTTTCGAAAATGATAATGGAATTTAGAGTAAAACGTCTTGACTTCTAATAGTTATGTTTAGTTCCAATGTTTTTTTACTATTAAGTTTTTGCTGAAGGGTCTTGTTTTACTGCGCTCTTTACTATTAGAAAATTTTGGGTGGCATATTTTGTAGTTGTGGACAAAAATAATGTCGTGTATTTGTCATTTTCATTCACATTCGTCCGTCATTTTTAAAATAGCAATTCTTCTGAAAAACAGAATTCAAGCAAATATCCAGCCCATTTGTAATCTACAGTGTTCCAAATCAATAAAGCAATATTTATTTTAATGCTTCAGTGTGAAATTTGCGTGTTTATTGCTGCTTACTTTGAGTTCTCAAAAGTTTTGTTGCAATCGTTATCGATATTCATGTCCTTAATCACGTCGACACTCATACTGGCATGCTTCTGTATGATTAGAAAGAAAAAGGATTTTAGTATCACTTAGTTTATTTATATAGTTAGTTTATTTTATATTCTATTCACCTTTGAACTTTTAGTTTGGGGCTGTTGTTGCGGTAGCTGTTGCTCTTTGTTTTGTTGCTTTTCTGTTGAATTTTTATGCAAATTATGCTTAGACTGAAAGTTTTCGTCGCTTCCTGCCCCAACACTTGATGGTGATCTCTTATTATCTGCCTCGTCAGCACACGATTGATTATTGTTAATTGATGATACGGACGCCGATGATGTTGAGTGTTCGTCCTCTTCAATTGTAGGACTTAAATTCGCTTTATTATTATTGCCTAAAATGTTTTGCAATATTTGTGACGATTGTTTTACAGAATTTTGTTGCTGTTGAATTTGATTTGCAGGTACTGGCACACCGAGTAATGGATCAAATTTTAGTAATAACGAGTTACGATCGACTGGCGCGCTATTATTGCCTTTTGTTAGTAGATAATCAAAGTCGGATGGATTTAAAATTACTGATTAAAAAGAAGGTGTTTACATACAGATGCCACAAGTTTACAGATGACAGATGAGATACATGAAATATAAACAAAATAAAATTGTATTAGAAATTATTTTAGCAGTTAGCAATTATTATTATAGTAACTGTATATGCTATATACATATATTTATTTATGTAATTGTTGTAATTTAGAAGCCCTAATATATTTTCAACCAGGATTTTTATTAAAACACACAATCCTTAATAGTATATTGAACATAATCATCACTTACAAGGTTTGAAAAAAATGTACTAAACCTAAAAACCTTTTTTTCTGCAAAATTGATGGATTTTTCGCATTTATTGCCGGATTTACATACATATATTGTATGTTACAAAAATATACTGTTTCGGTTATAAGGTTTGCCAAGAAATAAATAATTGTCAACCTTGTATCGTATTTTTTATTAAGAGAGTTTAATTAAATCACAATACTAGGAACCAGGGGTACGGATAGATAGACGATTAAGGCCTACTATGCTCTCCGCTTCCTTCACATTACTTTAAACAGTCAAACCAAGCAGGCTAGAACGGTTGATTGATTTAATGTGATTTTGCTCCAGCTGAATGATTTCTAGATATCTTAATCTTCTTCGCCTCTGGTAATTCCTCACAGAAGGAACAAGTCTCATCAGAGCTGATTCAAGTAAACATGTCATTCCTCTTTACAACCACTTAATTCTTGTCACATTACACTGTATTAAGGCTAAAGAGTGGTAAATTTTGCATCAACATTCAAATGTCTGAGAAACAAGCACCACCACTAACCCAAAGCTCTTAAAAAAAGAAAACATAGCAGAAACAATTTTTATCGTCAATTCGGATATAGATTGACTTCTCGTGGGCGTATCAGTAAGACAATATAGCATAAAAAAGCTATGTACTATACTCCAATACATATCTGCGTCGGTAAAGTTAAAATATATATATGTATGTATATTAGTATATATATACATATGCATGTATGTAAATATGCATTTAATTGAAATGGAAAATCGAACACATGAGCAAAAATCAAACCAAACATTCATTTATTAATTAACAAAAAGTTTAAATCACAGATTTCGGGAAGAATATATAACTAAATTGAAACACATATGATTTAATATTAGCTCTTTGGAGAACACATTGCGAGAACAAAAAGTTATATATTAATAATGCTTTTAAAAATAAACACTATATTTTGAGAGCAAATCATAAATATATGGATATCTGAGAAAACAATTCAAGATTTTATGAGTAAATTATAGTAGCTGGAATGACTAAGAGCATATGCAAGCATACACTTCCTCTTCTTAAAGAATATCAAGAATTGAGTGCACCATTGTATACAAGAAAATAAAGAAAGAAAAAAAAACGTACAAAACAATAGGTATGTTCGTTCAGAAATGTCAGTAAAAGCTAGCTAGTACCGAAATTGAGAGAGTAAGATGTCTTACTCTCCCAAAGTAAAGAAATTTACTGAGTTTACAACGAAAAGGATTCAGTAAAAATTAGTCAGCAAGTTGTATAACAGTTGTTTATTTTGGCGGCTAAATTTAAATTTGTTCATTTGTACAGTTTTTTTCTTTCTGTTTTGAAGTTTTTTCTTAAGTGTTTTAATAAAATTGGTAATTATATAGCATATTTAATTTGTTAATTGTATTCAAAACTCACTGTATTTCAACAATGATGAAATTCTACATGCTGGTGTCAAACGATAAATATACTAATAGGTTTCTTCATGTAGCTCTCTAAAAAGTCGAAGATTTATAAAAAAAAAAACTTGCTTTGCAACAATTTGCCACTTAGATTTTCAATAAAGATGACTGAAATACGAAAATGAGTTTGAAATTTTTTTTCCGCGTAAGCCGGCCATGTTATCTTAACATTATCTCAATATTATTATAGAGTTTTTTCGATTCTGTTTAAATAACAACAAGGCAAAGGCTTTACTTCTAAATGATACTAATATTTCAATTTGTGCAGCATCGTCACTTCCGGAAGCTTAATAATCAATTGATTATCTCACTGTCACCGCAGCAACATGCTTGCTTTGCAATGTTTTGCTGCTCATTTGGTCGATTCCGCTTTCTTCGCCAAAGTCAACTTACGCTGCACAAAACATTCTATGTCTTCCTAACTTCTAATTTCTCAGCGCCAGCTGAGTGGTGTGCGGGTGATGATTTCATTCCACTGCCACCATATTTTCGTTCAACGAGTGGCTTTCCTATTGTTGGAATCATTGATATTGCTCAGTTAAATTAAACGTCATAACATTTAAGCACTTATTTTGTTGGCATATCATTCATTAAAGAATTGAAATTATTTTAATTTTTAATCAATTTTGTTTTGTTGACAAAAATTCAATAATATGATCACAAATCAGCTGTTTTTTATACACGCTAGTTTTTACTACATAAAATTTACCCAGTACAAATTTGTAACTTTCTCTCCAATTAAACGTCAAAATTGCGCTCTCTCGTTACCAATTTTTACTCGGTTTTGGCTCAACGAACACAATCCTGTCAAGGAACAAAACTAATGTAAGATTTGAGGACATTAATTTTAAAGAAAGAGAATGATGAGCAATGTCTTTAATTGGTGGTTTTACATGAGCAAAATAAGTAGCGAAAGTAAAATATAATGAATTTTTAATACTTGTTACCACAGCTATTGTAAATTAAATTAATAAATCCATAATTTTCATGATTTCATGTTGTCTTTGTATATCTATGACTGCACGCAAATTTCTGACAAAACATCATCACAATCATTAGATAGTAATGACTCCTTCAATTCGTCATTTAGTATGTATTGAAGAATTTTCCATTAATGATTTTTCTAAAGAAATAAAAATGTTCTTTGCATTTGTTTATAATGACGCGCATTGTGTTAGTTGGCCGCATTTTTTGCCCTCAAACTGAAAAGTGAGTCATTCAAATGTAGTAAGTCCGCTGTCATTTGCCTACTTGCTCTTGCTTTTCCGCCCTACGTATGAGCGTGTGTAAAGTAAATGTGTTGTGTCCAGTGGACATTTCATATACAACACCTTATAACCGGAAAAGCAGTAGCGAGGCATAAAGGCAATGTTAAAGACGTGGAGGAGATGAGCCAAGCGCATAAACGGTAGAACTTTTCCTTGCTGTTAAAGCGTAATTGTCTCTTTCTTCTTTTTTTATACACAAATTGTCGAAGCGCACTAAATTTATGATTTTCTCTAAGGGCCAATAACTTTTTAGAAGAAATTTGTTTTTTTGTTGTTTTACAATTTGTCACTACCGCTACATGATATACATATACACATACATATTTATGTTTAATGCTATTGAAGGTTGCGGTCAACCTGCAGATAAAAAAAATATTAATCAAACGAATTTCCACTCTATGTCACTACACACTACACTTGAAGACTTGACGTAGACAGTAAAGACGAACAAATATAACAATAAATACACGTTCGCCACGCATCTGTAAGATACTTTTGACATTTTCAATACATCTGCAATTTTCAATGTTTTCAAACACTACCAAATACAATTCCATGTTTGAAAATTCATAAATGTGCAGTAAAAACTTAAATTTGGTTGAAATTACTTTTATTCAGCTATTGAAACAATTTTCTTCTCAATAAAAATCACATATACTCCAAATTGAGCCCGCAGCAACAGCGACAGTGAATAAAATAGAAACACAAACGTCGTAAACGTAATACAACGCGACGTCGACGACACAACTTGAGAAACTAAAAAGCAATATTCTCCACGTAGAAGAAGTTGGTTTCTCCAGTCAGCTCACGCTAGACACACAATCAGCGAGGTTTACCATTCCGATAAGCGAGAGCGCGATATGTTTACTCTGGCTGGAGTTCGATTGCTTTTAGTGTTTGTATGGAATTGGAAAATAGCGATAAATAGAGAGCGAAAGATAGAGACGGAGAGCGCGCATAGAGAGTGAATTTTGTTTCGTTACAAGGCGCGACAGGCGAGTGGGAGTGTAAAGGGTCAACAAGTTGGTGTGGTCAGCCAACGGCATTTAGTGGCGTTTAAATGAATGTACATGTGGGATTATGGATTTTTAACAGCAAATCATGTGCACAAGTTGCATTCTCAGAGCGCCTTTTGAAATAAAAACATTCAAATTCGAGTGTAAAAATTCTGCTTTCTTTGTTAAGGTGAGAACTTCAAGCCATCTCTCCCACACGTTGACTTGACTATCTGATTGCTTTATTGGCGGATACTGGTTTTCTGATAGCGAGTTGCCATGTACCATACCAGGGATGTATTTTAGTATTAACAAAAAGAAAAAGCATAGCTTTTACGTCATTGAAGATTATTATTGCATTAATTTGTATTTAGTATTGAACAAATAAAATAATTTGCCCTAAAAAAATTGATCATTAGTCTAAAAATGAGCTTCACAAAGGTAAAAAGATTATAGTGAAACTCAATTCGATACAATACCAATAAGATGTAATATATAACTGAAATTTTTGTTTTTAACATATAGGGTTATATAAAAAGTACAGGACTGAATTTTGAGGCATTTTGAAAATCGTTCGCTTAACAACCGCCCAACTCGTTAGAATCGTTAAGAATCATTACAAAAAAAAGGAAACTATGGCGCACATAATGGTCGAACTACTCAAGCAATTGGTAAAATTGCCACCACTACTGTAAGTGAATGAGTATCCGACCTGAATGTGTCTATTTCTCGACGTTCTTGCAGTACATCATAGCGTATTTTGCATTAGTTCTTACACCTGTATGCATAAAACCCAACTTACTAAAGCCAAGCAGGATAGCGATATTTTCAAAAAATATTTTTTTAACGACTCTTTTATCACTCGAGGAACACGTAAATAACGACTTGGAAAATATGTGGCTTCAATTAGATGGTGTCATATGCCTCAAAAAACGAGCAACTATGACTTTATTGCGAGAAGTTTCCCGCATAATTCCTCGGATTGGCGAAGTCAATTGGCTACCAAAATCGTGTGATTCGGTTGGTTGGTGTGGGGCTGCGCGAAAGATCGAAGTATATGCGGATATACCTTAAACTCTTGAGCATTGGTAAACCAATGATTGTCAAGTTATGGCTGCGATGCCGCTCAATATGTGCCAAAAAGTGGTCGAAAATCACCTCAAACTGATCGAAGTTTGCAAAAATTCGCAAGGCGGTCATTTAAATGAAGTAGTATTTTACATATACATATGGCCAAGGTTCAAACTTTATAATAAAAAGAGAATTTCAAGAGAAACTAATAATTTTCAATACATTTTATTAACGTTTATTTTCGAAAACAAAAATCGATAAGGTTATAAATATATAATATTGATTATAGAGTACGGTCCAAGCGACTGACAGGCATAGCGACAATAATTTGGCAAGCCTTAACATCTCTTAAGTAATTTTAAATTTCCGATTAGAGCCTTGAGTGTTTTTCTATCAATGACATAACCTTTTTTTGGCAAATGTATTTTTATTTTCTGAGCCGAAATGCACACAAATGTATTGACATTGTTTTTTTTTTTTTGGTCTAGCCTGAGCTCTGATTATTTTTTGAATGACTTGAAATTTGAACTAATTTATAATAAAATGGAGTTTTCAACAAATTATCTGAATTAAAGTATTGGAATTTATAATTTAAAACACTGCAGCTTTTTTAATTACATAATTTACGTAACGAATTTAAATATTATTTATAGTTTAGTTCGGGGGTCTCACATAGATGATACGGCTTCCTCAGTGTAATCATTTCCAATTGTGTTATATTATATATATATGAAAATTATTAAAAATGATTGTAAGCAACAGATAATAACTTTAATAAGTTGAGTAGTCTTTTTTGCCCACTACTGTTGTTGCTAACTCGATTATTTTATGTTATCACAAACAGCATAGATATAATATTTCAGTTCAAAATTAGTTCTTACTTTGTACGGAAAATAAAAAAAAATATCTTTTACCTTTTCACATAAAAGTTTCCTACTTTTATATTTATCTATATACTCGTTTATGTACTAATGCATACATTAATTTATTTTGTCTGGTGTCGTGGCGACCATACAAGACCTGCCTAATATTTATGTAGATTAGCTCACGTTCAAGTTCAGACACGCCGCGGAAGGTCAGTACAACCCTCGCAAACTTTTAACACAAGTAGGAAGTAAATGTGGTGGGTTACCTGCTGGTTTTTCTTCCTACCGTTTTGCACTATACATACTTACAATTGTAATACTGGCCCTGAATTGTTTTTATATTAGCGAATGCAATTAACTGAAAAGCTGTAAAGGTATGCGGCAATGGTCCGGGTACTACATACATACTGACATACTCACACGAGTAGTTGGTTTACTGTTCGACATTTCAACTGAATGCAGGAAGAAGCTGTTTGCATACAATTGGAACATATGTATATTTTTTATTTGTGGTGTGCGCCTTGGAATTTTTCCAACAAATGGAGATACCTACAGTTTGTTCTAAGCCGTCTCTGAATGGCCTATGGATTTTTAGAAGACGCTTTTATTTCAAGTCAGAAATACACGCGAAGGGCTTTACAATTCCCGGCGAGGAGCGTCCGCAATTGAAAGATTAATTTTCTATGATTTTGGATATTAGAAGGACCAGGACTCGAAACCTGGCCTACCGAATGGTGCTACGCACTGATAACCACTCAGGTGTTTCGGCCATCCTTTATGTACATAGAGGAATGCTCAAAAAATAATGTGGGTAGCTAAGCAATTTCTTATAAAATACAAGGTAGTTTCACTCAATATTTTTTTCAAAAATATTAACCATCTGACATAAAGAGATTTTTTGCTACCATTCAAAAAAATGTAAATTTTCTAAAATTAAAATAATTTATTACAAAAAATACTAAACTTTTCCACCTAAATAAAAAAATAAAGAAAAATAACACGTACCCACAAAATTTCAAAATCCTTGCAGAGTATTTTCCGAAATCTAATGGAAATAAGATTGTTTTCAGCATTTTATTTATAAAAATATATGAAATATTTTTAAATTGGCATATCTTGAAGTTAAAATATAAATAAGATATAAGTAAAAAAATCTTTCCCTGTGAAATTCATATTGAGTGAAACTACCTTACTTTTTTGTATCATGATTTGTACAATAAATAAGAATGAAAAATAAAAACAATCTCATTATCATGATATTGGTTCTTTTGAATGAAAATTTCGACAATTGGCACAGTTAATATTAAATATCATCGACATAATTAAAAGTGCGCTAAATACAAAACAAGTCATGAATGAAAATGGTTGTAACTTACAGTTATTTCCACAGAAGAATTGCTCATTTGTGTATTCTTGCTGATCAGCGTCCACATTTAGGTCACTGCCGAAAATGCCAAAGCCGCTAGTTGATGATGGCTGATCTTCCATTGGCGATGGGGTATTAGTTCCAGCAAACACATCCTTCTCATCACTGGAGTCACGTTTCGTTTGTTCTTTTGCTGATAATGCTTCAACAGTAACAGTGTCTTCTGCATTCTTATACGCATGTATTGATGGACGCTTTTGTATAGTGGGCTTAGGTGGCGATGCCGTAGATGATGATGGTGATGGTGGTAAAGGTACTCTGAATGCTTCATCATCCATTTTAAGATTTGTTACGTTCTCATCCCGCCGATGATTTTGGATGGATGATAGAGTTGGTGACTTATCTAAAGATGATGCGCTACGATTCTGCAGTGTTGGTATTGGCGGCGAACTGGAGATTGTTGTAGTTGGGGGTGACTGTATTGGTGTTGGTAAAGATTTTGCACTCTCCATAGGTAACGTTTCATCTAAATCCATGGGCTCATCTATTTCTTCCGGTTTTGGGAAATTGTTTGAAGTTGTTGCTAAGGTTACTGGTTCGGATATAATGTAAGTACGAGGTATTTCATCAACATCGTTCCCGCTTGAAGATTTCTCTTCAAGTTTATCATTATTTTTTTCAGAACATTCTAAATTAAATGTTCGCCGATTATTCCCCTCATCAGAGACATATTTTTGGTTAGCAGTATCGGTTTCCGCTGGCACAGCAGGCATATCAAATGTACGCTGTTTATCTACTTCCCGATCAGATTTTAATGAAAAAACATTCATCTGTTCTGAGGGTATATTATATGTGCGCCGCTTATCTTCATCGCTTATATGCTTTAGTCTCACATTTTCTGTATCTTCCGAAACAGGTGGTGTTATATTGAAAGTACGACGTTTATCTAAACTCTCACACAATTCAGCGTGTTTTGTAGGTATGTCCGATTCAGTGGTTGTGCTACCGTTTGTTTTTACTGATGCAACAATCTCGTTGAGATTATCTTTCGAGCATGCAGCGTATCTTTCGGTGTTTGCAGCAACCATTTCAGATTTAGCTAGTTGGGCAGGTCTGTCATCAATCGAGGATGTTTTTCGAGACCCGGGTAGAGCGAATTTTGGATCATTGGCCACAGATTTTTTACGTTCCGTTTCTATGCGCTCAGTATATTCGGATTTCTCAAGAAATGGGATTTTCTTTGGTGCGTCAGCAACGGGAGAACGTGGAAATTGCTTGAGTGAGATACCCTTCTGCTTTATAGGAAAACTCGGAGAGGAGGCTGAGCTTTTGCTACTACTTGTTGATGAATTCATGTCAGTTGTCAAATTCAGTGCGTTATGTGACCCAGTCAAGGACTTTTGATTTTCTTGTTTATTTTCAAATGAAGAGTGTTTCATTCCACTTTCTTCGATGGGTTGTAAACTTGTATTTGCTGAATACACTGAAATTGGGGAAGTTATTGTATTTCTTGATAAATCAGCAGTTACTTCCGAAGCTGTTTCAGTTGTGCTACTATCAATGTCTTTATGCTCAATACTGTGGTTTTGTGCTGTTGAAGTAGGTAGCTCGTCAGTGCGATTTAACGTGACCTCGACTTCAGACTGTGTAGTTTCTACACTAGTTTCGTGCTGAGCCGTTGTTGTATTACTTTTTAAAGTTTCACTTTTATTACTAGTTTCTGGTTTACACTCGACGCTAGGAATTGTCGTAACAACGTTTTCATGGGTGACAGTTTTTAGAGCTGTTCCAAGAGGTGTAGTTACCTGAGTGAGTTCTACATTTAAATGCTCTTTTATTTCGGTGCAACTAATATCGACGTCCATTGGTTCTTCATCAAAGGTTACATCTAAAGAATGAGCAGTTTGTTGTATCAATATATTACCGCCACTCATAACAGATAGTAGATCAACTGGATCAATGTGACTTTGTTCTGGCACTTTATTCATACTTAAACTTAATGGGTCTGCTTCATCATTTCTGATAGTGACATTTCTCGAGTTTGCAGCGCTGAAGTATGACTCAACTTCAGAATTTTCAAAGCTATATTCGTCAGCAATAAAACCGTAATCGTTATTCGAAGTTGAAATTTGATCGGTTTCGCATTCTGCAAAGGTCTCATTGTCCGACGACGTTGCTGTATCCGGTTCCATAGGTGGCTGTAAGTTATGGCGAGCGTTGGATTCATCTGGAATGTGATATGGAAGAATATAAACTCAGGAGATAATTTAAAGATAATCTTAGAGGAATAAAAGAAAATCACATAACTCTTTGTTATTAATAAAAAATTCGAATCAAACTTACCCTTCCCGGCAGCACTACTACTTTTTTCACGCTCATTTATGGCTGCAGTCAATGTTGGTATAAGACCATCTTCGAATGTTAATTTTGCCCGATCTGAAATAAGACAAAATATATTTTTTATTATATATTTTTTATAAAATTTATTTATATGCGTAAGCCTATACAAGTATCTGTACAAAAAGTCTTTATTAAGATTTACTACCATTATGTGTTTTATTTTCACAGTTATTAACTAAATTATTAGTTTGTTCGGCGGGATGCTTTACAGCAATAATTGTTTTGGAAGTTACGAATTCCAGCTGGGGGAAATTTTAGCGGGTAAAAATAGGCAAGCGTGAAAAACATAAGATTTTTGATTGTATGGTCAATGCATTTTTGCACGCAAAACAAAAATTACTTTAAGTGAAAATAATATTAATACGTTAATTAAATGATGTATGTGCCAATCGAATTGGTCTGGAATCATTTCCCGCACATCGCACATCGCACATCGCGCATTGAAGAATTGGATGTCAGAAATGTTGAAAACATAGAATTTTAAAATATTATTTTTGGTACAATGTATAGCCGACTCCTTTAAATTTCTAGGAAGTAATGCCGATAAAATTAGGCGCTAAACAGTGCAAACCAAGACGATAATGTATCCTTAAGCCTGCGAAATTGATGGAGCTCTCTGCATATGCTATGATTTTATGCAAATGGAACCCAAGAAATTTTATAAAGCTCAGAAAAATATTTAGCTAATACAGAAAAGGGTTTCTAAGCCCGGTCTCGTACTTGAGGCATTCAGTTTTACTGATATCTTTATGTTTGATTGCCATGAAGCATCAAGCGTAGAAAAATAAATTGTATAAATAAACTGATTCAAATGTAGCTGACAAAGTTTACAGTTGTTATATAACTTATTGGCAAAAGTTACTGGGCCCTATCTGGTGAAAACTCATTAAATTTTTCTTTTTGGTAGAGTAAGACATCTTACTCTCTGAATTAAATAGTAGAAGTACGAAATCCCCTGATGACCGGCCATAATTATACAACATATCTTCTTTTTGTCATTTTATGAGGATATTTTAAACAGACTGCTGGTAAACTAAAACGTTAACTCATATCAAGATATAAAGCAAAGGAGAAAAAATGATTCTAAAGACTGCAACACACACTTTTTGGTATATAATATAACAGATATATTATTTAAGGGGTATGGCCACAGTAGAATTTTTTAAAAATTGTTTTTTTTTTTTTGCTTAAACGATGCTTTATAGTCTTAAAAATGATATGCCATTTAACTCAGAATGAAATAATCATTTTTGACTGATTGAAGGTGTATATCGAAAGCCCACCTCCGGCTCGGCTAACTTATATGTGAAACTTTAAACGCGTTTTTCTCGAAACACTTTTTTTTGAATTGGCGTAACAAATAACTTGTACAATTTTGATTGACTTCAAATTTTGACATCATGTTTATTATTGCATTCCGCAAGGAAGTACGTAGGGGATTTCCGATTAATCAAGTACTTTTTTTGTTATGACTAGTTTATTACAGAATTATTGACTAAAAATGCGCGTTTTCTGTTCAAATCCCTATAATTTCCATAAAAATCAATATTTCCCCTACGTACTTCTATATCTATTGTCATGCAGATTAACGACATTTTTTTGTTTTGTTCCAGGACAAGAGTTGTAGATGCAAAATGTCACGCCGTGGAGCGCTTTAGAAAAATGGATGAAAAAGAGATCAGAAATATCGACCATTTTGTGCTGGAAAAAAATCTAAAAAAAATAGTTTCTCATAAGCTTTATATCCGAACTTCATCGGTATGTGATTATTTTCATGAATAATAGTTCCATACAAAAAAAAATATTACATTTGCACATGGTTTTTTACCCGCTACTGTGGCCATACCCCTTAACGGTCCTAAACCGGTTGCAAGAGTGCAAATTACAATTCCAAATAAGATCTAAAATTACTCCAATTACTCACCTTCTGTATTTATATTTAAAGCTGTAGGCATCTCCACAACTTTTGTTCCACTCGCATCAGCAGCTGCACCTATGCAAACGATATATCGTTTTCAAATTAAAAGGTAAAATAAAATCGTAAAAATATAAAATAAATTTGCATACCAGGAAAACTCTTGTCTTTATCTATATGAATATCTGCTTTAAGCGACACTGCAGGAACGGCCACATCCAAAGTTCCCGCTTTTGACTCGGCAATGCATCGTTCTTTTTCACTCGCTATTAACGTAGCAGATGCACTATCAGCGACAGGTGCCATAGCAGATGTCTTAAGTGAAGATGGAGCTGAAGAGGATGACTCTTTATATTGCGTTGAAGAAGACTCTTTCAAATTTGCAGATTTCGAAGAAATTGCGTTATACTGCAAGAAAATTTGACAAAAAAAAATATATTAAAAAAGTTAAAACACTACAACAAATCTGTTCTAATGTCAGCAACAGGTTATGTGTGAATTTCGCGTATGTATGTGCGACCGTAAAGAAATTTCAAAAATGAACTACACAGCAAAGCCAAGTGCAACAGGAGTGCTGCATCCTTCTCGAATCGTGTTTTTGACAGTGAAATTTATAAATATGAAATTGAGTGCAAGTTTACGTGCACATGTGACTAAAATAAGTAGAAAAATCAAAACACTCTAACAGGCAATGGCAGGTGCCTCGAACAACAACAAATTGAATGTGATGTAGAAATTTGTATCTGTACACGGTAACGGTCGGGTTGTCAGCTCCCAAAAAGCCGCAGCACCGCAGTGTTGAGGTAGTATGTTGATTCTTCACTGAGTTGTTGTGCAGACAAAACATATTTGAATATAAAATACGGCGTAATTTGTTTTGCCTTTTGCTGCCTTCTTTTAGATTTAGGATTTTTATTATTTTTGTCTTAAGAAAATTTTAAAAATTGTATATACATATTTCGTGTGATTTTCTAAGAAAGTTTCGCCAAGTGCCAACAGACAACAATTCAGTTTAGTGCGCCTAGGCTAGACACCGCCACATTTAGCTTTGTACCGTCACTCATTTCGATTCACTTTTGTGGCATAGTCTTTGCAGGCAAAATGCAATTAGCTCAAAACAATTTATATATGTACATTGCACAAATGCAACATACATACATACATGCTTATTGACTATATGCACGGTGTGGTGAGGTATAATGAGAAATACAAATATATATCTGTGGGAAGTGCATTTTTTTGGCTTTCCCCATAGCTTGTATCGAATGAGGACCTAGTTTTCTTCATTTTTTATTTATTTCTTCTCTTTTTCTTTTTTTGATAAATAGTATTGCGTTTGCTTTTTAGCGCGGGAAATGTACTCGAAATTCAATTAGCAATAGCAATACAAGGTTAAAGTCACTTAAAGTGTTCGTAGTGTGGGTGATTATTAGGCAGGCATTAACAGGTCGAATCATTCTGACACAATACAATGTAATTACAAATAATAAAGAATTTCTGGCAATTGGTTGAGCATTTAAATAATTGTCCATCAATTCCACATATGTACTTATGTATGTTTATGCGGTCAAGGTTTTTTAATTTTATTAAATTCGGTAGACTTATTTTCCCAATAGGCTTACTTGCTTCTATGTTCAGAAGTACCAAAAGAAGAGGCTTTGATGGAAGTGGATCTTTGAATCCCTTGGCAGAAACATCAAGAGAGTAATGAACTTAATAAAATCTCTCTGCTTTTTAATTAGATTTATTTTATCAAAAAAATCTCAGTAAAATTAATTTTATTTAGTTTCATTCATGGCAATTTTAAGATCTTCGTTAATTCTAACGCAACTCGGACACAGTGACATCCCAGACAATTGCACTACAGACGAACAAGCTTTAGAAGGAACGCTTCTATCTATATCAAACCATGCACACGATGCAGGTTTACCTTTATCAGCATCAAATTATATGCTTAAACTGGCCTTTGCCAAAGAGGCAGACTCAAGATAGCGGGATGAGATACCGTGCAACGTAACAGACTATGGCCGAAATAGAACGCGAAGAAATCAAAACAACTTCTAGACCGGTTGGTTCTCCATTAATATAACGACAGGCTACTGCTCAATAAGGCTTTAAGAGAAAAGAATGGGCTACCACTCTAATGAGTTTTGCCGCAGTTAAAAGTACGAGTGTATTGAACACTACATCTGTCACTCTCGAGCTTTGACATCTTCGGGACACAAATTTCACGAAAACACTTCTTCGACTTTATCCCTGAGCTAGCCTCAGCTAAAATTGGAAATATCGTTGGCTTGATACGACAACGACGAGATCTTTTGAAAAGTTGTAGACAGGAGCCTCACAGCGGTATCACAAAGGAAATATTGGCCTAGGAGCGCCGGTAATGACCAGCACACGCAGCTGAACTAATTCTTGATATGTTGATGTTGATCCATCATGATGAACTAGACTTTGACTTCTTTTGATTTCGTTCTGTGTCTTTTTATGTTTATTTTAAGATCTTCGTTTATTGCAACGGCCGTAATAAGGCAAAGGAGGTAATTAAAAGAATGTTTATAAAAACTGCATGATTTTCCGAAATTACGGTAATTTCTCACTTATGACTATTTGTAATTCTACATTAAATTATTCATGCGTGTAATGAGTTCACTGATATCAAAAGAAATTTATGTGGAGAGACACATTGAATACCGAATTGTCACATACCTCAGATGACAATGCCTTCGCGAATGCTGTTGGCGATAATGATAATGGACGATTTGGCAAAGTATGTTGATTCAATTCAGTGTCGGTATGCAACAGATCACCCATATTTAAATTGTCATTGATTTGTATGAGCAACTCTTCGATTGTATTGCCATCAGTGTTTACGGGATTTAAGATATTGCCATCACACCTGTCACTGCCATGACTACTGGCGCTTGTTTGCAGCGAACTAGAAAACGTCTGTGAGCCCGATTGACTTATTGGTGGTGAGGTACGTGTTGTTGGTGCCGTTGTGATGGGATGAAAATCGTTCTGTACATTCTGCATATCCATTACATTGGCTGAAATGAGTGGGCCGTTTAGGGTACTAGCTATAGGTTGTTGATGCGTTTCTGGTATAATGGCACGATCGAAGGGCGACAAAGGCGACTGCGATAGTGATGGCGAGTGTTGCGGCGTGATTGGACGCGAATTTGCTTGTCCTTGATCTGACGACAATGACTCGCTGCGCACCAAACTTATTGGCCGCTTTATTAGATTTGAAATGAAATCCATTTTTGTTTCCTATCGAACTTTATATTTCTAGGTGATTTGCACTCTTGTGACAGCGGTTTATGATATTTGAATACTTTAAGTAAGGAAAACAATATTATATATGTACGTATACTGGTTTGCAAATTAACACAATATGTAAAGATTGGGTATTTTCAATTATAGTGTCACACACGATTGATTTGCGGTAATTACGTTTACGCCTGCAACGCGTAGCGTCGCACCATCTTCGTTGTTTTCAGAAAATACTTTACCAAAATTCTCGTCTTCGCGTCAAAAATGGGAGAATAGTCACGTAATTAGGTATATATTTTTTTGCGATTACGGTATGCACCATTAACTTCAAATCAAGTTTTGCGGATTTTTTTTTGCTTTTTTACAATTTTAATTATTTGTCTTCTATCAGAATTTATTCAATTATGTTTTTAATGTATTTGATTTTTCCTATTTGGAATAAAATACAAAATTTTTGAAAATTATGATCTGTCTTCTTGGCTGCGCGCTCAATAAATATACTCGCAGTCAGAGTATTTTTTTATGATCGTTTTTTTGTTGGTATATGTTTGTACATTTATTTCAGTAAACACAATTTTCTACGGCAGACTAAATTGTGCGACCACAATTAAACGCTAACTGACAGTCGAATCACACGAGAGCTGTTGGAGGTACACGGACGCCACATCGCTCCTTTAGCGCGCAAGTGCGGGTGTTCGCCAGCTGTGCTCTGCTGAGTTATTCATTGCGACGATGTTGTGCTATAATTTCGATCAACCTCACGGCGTCCAATGTTTTACATACATACATGATTGCATATGTATCAATACATAATACGTAACGTCCTCATGAATGTTCGAATTGAAAGAATTTTCAACAATTTTCCAACTTTATTGGATTGCTCTTTGTTGATCTTTTGCTGTTTTGTTTTACTTTTTCGATTCTCACACTAACAATTGAGCGTTGTTCATTGTGTAACGGCGACATGGCGCTCTGATCGGCGACTAGATCGCCGAGGTTGATGAATGAATGTCTCGACAGCTTTATACCGTTGCCTTTTGTTATTAGATTACAAATATTTATAATCAGCATCGCTTTGGGTATTCATTCATTCGTAAATTTTTCAAATTCGGGTTTTATGCGAGTGTTTGTTTGTTACTTTGGAAATATTGTACAATTATATTGATATTTAATGAAACTTTTCCATTAAAAGATCGATTGTTAGGTTGCTTGAGTGGCACGCAGCGGCGTCTTGTTGAAAGAAAACGTTTTCCAGATCAATGCTATCCAATTCCTGCCATAAAAAATCATTAATCATATGTCGATAGCGCAATCCATTCATTTTCAAAAAAGTAAGGTCCAATGACCCCGTCGGGCCATAAACCGCACCAAACAGTTACAGGTTGAGGACGAAAGACTTTTCAACGATAAATCTTGGGGTTTTCGAGCTCCAAACGTGACAGTTTTGCTTATTGGCGTAGCCATCGAGTTGCAAATGGTCCTCATCAGTTCTCATCAGTCAAAATGATTTTTCGACGAAAATTTTATAATGAATTTTAATAATTTTAATGCTTTATTGAAGCGTGTATCTTATTTGTTAAAATAATGATTTTAGCAAAACGATTCAAAATTATCCAATTGGTTGATTCATTTAAAAAAATTACAAGCTTCAGATTCGCTAAAATATTTTCATGCGCCCTGTAGTTCAAAACGTCATGCAAAGATTTGGTTAGTGTCGCTCCTTAGCTAATATAACAGATGTTTTATTGTGCATGCTTCTCCATTGGGGCCGATGGAATCGGAGGCTGCCGCTTACCCAATAACCCCCTGAATATCTTCCCTAGAGAAATTGACCGCCGCGCTAGTGTTAGAACGAAGGAGTGCGGGCTCCAGTTTACTGTACCCAACTGGGGATAAGGAAGTCATATAAGCTGCCAAGGCATTGCAGTATCTTTCAAGCCGAAATTTTTGCCATAAAAATGTCGGCAGAACTACTGCAAAGTGCCGGTTTTCAAACGAAAATAATACACATCTATGTGCATAGTCAAGCGGTCATAAAGACCTTAATTTTATACAGAACGATATCAGCTGTGATCGCCTAATTTTATTTATTTAACAATAAAGCGAAGCAAATCAAGCCCTTGTTGAAAACAGACGAGTGTACATATACTGGGTGCGACGGCCATTGAAGATAGCTGACGATCTTGCTAAAGAGGGTGTCCATTTAGAATAGCACGCAGCACCGATCCTACCCGTTTCATTCAAGAAAGTGAAGAAGAAGCTAGAAGCAATACTACCTCGTCAGGCGAATAGTCCGTGGGAACGAGCTGGGGGCTGTAGAATCGCGTAGACTATGAGTAATACATACATTACTAAGTTCACAAAGTTTGTGCTATCTCTTAATAAACCGGACTCCAGGTTACTGATAGGACTTTTAACGGAGCATGGCGTCTCATGCGTTTAAGACAGGTCTGACTGCATGCAACAAGTGGAGCAAGTAATCTGTGAATGTCCGGCGTTCGGAAGACAAATGCTATGTATACTTGACGCAGAAAGACTACAAAATCTACAATCAGCAAAACGACTACTTAAGTTCAAGAAAAGAACAGCAATATTCTTCACACTAGAGGCACAATAGGAGTATAACAGCAAAGCTCGGTCGCATGTAAAGTGCCTGGCATACTATGTGAGGCAGACTGCGTCAGTCAGCTTAACCTAATCTAACCTAGCAAGAAAGATACTTTTCTTCCCGGAATATGGACTAGAGACCCACCTACTGGAAAAAATCGTATTTATAGTTCTTTTTACTTGCAATTATTTTTTTATGGAAAGTGGGCCGATCTATTTGAAAAAAAAAAAAAAAAAAAAAAAAAAAAAAAAAAAAAACATATGTATTTATAGTAGAGTTGAGTTAAATTTTTGGATGATTTGTCTGAATGGGATACTTTTATTCCCTGGAAATGGCCGAGACACCTTCTAACAAGTTCGATTAGCTCGAAATATAAATCATATTCACAGACAGACTGACAAAAATTAGTAGGATTATGAGGCTTCAAGTTGAGGATCCCTCCATTTCTTGCAAATACTTGGAGATGAGATGAAAATCGCTTTAAAGTAACACTGGAAAAAGTTTTTTCTGAATTTTACTTTCGCTTTTTATAATTCACACAACAAAATACATAAAAGTATATGGCATTCTTTTCTGATTAATGTGCTATAAACCCATATATGTATATTATGTACCTTGGGATCCTTTAAAAGTTTAGCAGCAAAAATAGTTTATACATTTACGTATGTATACCAGTACATATATATGCCAAAAAAATATTATATAAAAAAATCTGGAACTTTTGAGATCAGAATCACTCATTAAAACACCAAATTAACATATTTTTTTTTTTTAAACTAATATTGAATTTAATGTTGCCGAAATTCGTATATTAATCAATTAAAATTACACGAATTTAGATATGCAGATCTCACGTGTAAAAGCAAAAACACAAAAATACATTAATTAAAAATAATTAAATTATACGCAAAATGGAATGCGATCCGATACGAGATACAACCGACAGACAACACGGTGTTACAACGAATAACTACATAAAATACAAGAGCATGGAAACAGACAGTCAATGGTTTCTTGAGAGGTGGGAGTGTCTTGGTTGTCTTCTAACTACAAGATGCCATATACATGCATTGGAAATGCAAGTGCAAGTAGAAACAAACAAACACACACACACACACACACACATGCATGCCTACGTATGTACCATTTGCAATATAAAGCAGAAAAGTGAGCACATAATAGTAGACAACAAAAGAAATGCACTGGAGACCCAATACAGCCGATAGAAAGCCACATGGTGTAAAGAGTAACACTTGCAACACTCTTGAGGTACTAAGTGGAGCCAGTCAGTACCGCTAATAAGTAAAATGTAAATGGCATGGGTGCATGTACCTTGAAACATACATACGTGAGAATGTTTATCGTCATAAAATACTGAATAAAGCAAAGAGGGCGATCTCCTTAGGCATAAAATTCAAATTAAAAAAAAAAATGTAAATAATATTATTATAAGAGAAGTAGGGAGGGCCAATTAAAAGGGACATAATCGTAATAATATATGTGTTTATTTCATTGTGAAGTGTACTCTTATGTATATATGTAAAAGGATGAAATTTTTGTATTTCCTGTTAAGTGTAACTCACTTTAATCAAAGGTCGAACGCAGTCTCTTTCAGAAATGACTGGTTTATATTAGGTTTGATCAAAGTCTATCGCCATACCCCGAAATAAATTCCAATTACGGACTAAACCAAACAAAAAAAATGCGGATTATATATTTTATATTAGGCATAAATAGAAATATGAAGAGATGAAAAGCCTTCATAGTACGAAATGGGTATCATGAAAGATAAACCAGTTGATGGTTTATACATGTAGTGTAGGGACGAAACACGGAATAATAAACAACCATTTTTTCAAGGAATCAGATACAAGAATTCAAAGAAAAATTTCTTAATTTCGAATTTGTGCCCAACGTTCAGCTGTCGCTAAAAGGAATATGTTCAAAGAACTCTATGCTTGGTGGCCAAGGATCTATAAAAGGCCAATGCTTTTCGAAATTATGCAAATGTTATAAAATTCAAAATGAACGAACACTAATCCTTACTGGCATTTCTCCCGAAACAGGGCTTATGAATAATATTATTTTAAATTCAAAATAATAATACAAGCATATTCTTCGGTCGTTTTATTATGCATAATCTAACAAACTACCTAAAACATTATTAATACCTTGGTCTAACTGGACTACGATTCAAGGATATTGAATTTCTCCCCAAATAAGTCTTTCCTCGACTAGATGAAAATTCGTTAGTCAAAGCCATAAGAACGTTATTTATTTGAACTTAGACTAAGTCCTTATGACTAGTCAAGCCTAGTACCCTTAGCTTCGATGTTTGACTATAACATATGGTGTGTGAAAATATAACTAGTATCATCCAATAGAAGATTTGTTCAACTACTGAAGAACTGTCACTGTCGGCCGAATAATTTGAAGAAGGTTCGATTATACTATTAGTCTTACTATTTATATTCATATAAAATGCCAATTATGTATACATATATGTATATACGAGGCCGCAGTAGACGAGTGATTATCATTGCGTACTGACATTCGGAAGGCTCGGGTTCAAATCCCGGTACCACCAACATCCAAAATTTATTGAAAATTAATTTAAGTAAAAATTAAGTTAAATTCTCTAATTGCGGTCGTCCTTCGGCAATATTTTGGATATGAAATAGAGCTCTTTATAAAAAAAAACCATCAGCCGTTCGGAGGCAGCTTAGTATAAACTGTAGGTGCCTCCATTTGTTGGAAAAACATCAAGATGCAAAACGAGGAGCTCGGCAAAAAAAAATCGCTTCACCAGTTACAAAGAGCCAATTATATATATATATATATATATATATGTATACGAGGGAGCGTATTTATATTCAAGAGGTGGAAAAAATATTTTTTTTTTCATTTCAATACATTTAAGTACAAGGCGGATGCTGTTTTCAGATCTTTTCATAAATGCTTTCTCTTTATTTTCACGATACACATCCTTGACAGCACTCTTTTTGTTTTTGGAAACACTCCAGCCCAGGTCTAGGCATGTTATGCGTTGTCGTGCAAAGGCAGCACACTTTTCGTCAAC